ATTATCTATTTTTGTTTTTAATTACATTTTAATCACTTTTATTATTTTACGTGACTTCTCCCGATCACATCATCATGAAGCTAGAAATTATATAAAACCCAAATATATCTAAATAAAGTGGGTGAAAAAACATAACAAACTGATGACCTTTTGTATACTTGAATCATTTGTCGATATAAATCAAAGTACTGAAAGCACTCATGGGAGTTGAACATGGTGTAAAATAAAATCTTTGATCGGGAGGTTAAGTGAACAATATTATTATTTCAAATACAGACAACTGTTTAAGATTTTTTGAGCTGCAACAATCTTGGGAAAGACATTCAGAGACATTGAATAGCAAAAAAATGCATGGGCCATATGCTTGCCTGCCTACATTAGTCCCTTTTTATACCCCCTGCTTGAAAAGCAGGAGGGTATTTATTAATCAGGATTTCCGTCCATCTGTTTGTTACGCTTTAGGTATACCCATCTCTTATCCGCAACTCCTCTTACACCACTGAACGAAATTTTCATAGAATCTTTATTACATATTGTCGTTGTGCACCTTCTATTACTTTTTCATCCTACACTTATTTTGGGTTTCCCATTGCAAAACATGGACACTGCCATTATATTCATATTAGAGGCGGTTGATCATTTATATAATTCACTGCTCACAGTCTTCAAATTTGTGCCCCGTGGGGATCTGGGTTAGAATAGGTCATCAGTACCCCCCTTGCTTGTCGTAAAAGGTGACTAAATGGGGCGGTCCTTCGGATGAGACCGTATAAACCGAGGCCCCGTGTCACAGCAGGTGTGGCACGATAAAGATCCCTCCCTGCTCAAAGGCCGTAAGTGCCGAGCATAGGTCTAAATTTGCAGCCCTTCACCGGCAATGGTGACGTCTCCATATCAGTGAAATATTCTGGAGAGGGACGTTAAACAGTATACAGTCAATCAAATTTGTAATATATTTTTCCTGGCACCTATACCCATGTGTTATGAAAATTTCAGTTCCGCAGGAATAATACCAATGTTGATAAAATGTGGATTTTCACACAGCATGCTTTAAAGAGCTAACAGGTTTGTTATATAAAACTTTTCTGTGAATATAAATGTATTTCAATTACACTAACATTATACATGGAGTACGTCAGAACTTGATCTTTTTTAATATTGTGAAGAAAAAAGCAATACCAAGTTAAAAACAAATATTTAATGACCAAACACAAAAACAGTGGTATATGTGAGTTTGTATGCGTACAAATTTAATATCTGGTATATAATATGTAAATGAGGTTTTCCTTTTATTAAAAAAAAAATATACTTCATTTTGTTGTTTTTAATCGCGATTTTACGAAAACATCGATGTCCGTTTTTGGTTTTAACATTTATAACAGAGTACTAGATTTACCGCTTTTGGCAGGTGATACTGCTGATTTAGTAATAAATACGCATGTTTCCTAAAGTTTTTATGCATTAATGAATTGATTTAAACCAAGAAAATGTTCATGAAAAGTTTGAATAAATTCTATGCACCGGTAAAAAAGAAATTGCTAAAAAACCGGGACCATCGGGCGTCGGGAAGACTTGCCGTCAGTGTGTAGAGTTGTCGTTTGTATCTCTTTCAGTGTATGACGCTACACTAAAAATGAGTTCCATTACGAAAAACTTTTGAGGTTCTTTATAATTTAGTTTTACTTTGAACTAAATCGAATATTCAAAATAAAATTACTTTATCATTACATTTCAAATTATGAAAATTAGATCAATTCAGAAGAAAATGACATGAACTATTTGTGGCGGATGTTTATGCATGTTTTCTGTTGAATATCATCGGAGTAAATCGGTCGACACAGTAGCCTCGCTTTCGGCTCTATATAATCAACACAGATTACTGCGCATGTTAAATGCGTGATGACCATGGGAGATTGAACATAGTTCAACTCCCAAAAATTATAATAGAAGCACATCAGGATGAAAGGTCAGGGGAAAAAATGAATAATTAGAAAGTATTCAACAGAACATGCACACGTGCATTTTACTGTTTTTAAAGAGAATGGGTACATTTATATATGAAGCTCAAGCAATCGGTCTCTTATTACATAATTAAAAGCAAATCTTGACAGGGGATGTCAGATTCTACGTAGGTTTCCCCTCGCATAGACTTATATTCTTTTGATAATGTTGAGATTTTAAATAAAACAAATACATTGTTTTCATTTCTGGGTCATAACTTATGCGAAAACTACTATATAGTATATTTCGTCCAAAGCGACGTGATAAATTGATATGAAAGTCATCAATCATTTAAAGAAAACCAGAAATCTCTGTCGAGACTGTAGCTCTACTGGTTTGTAATTATAATAAAAAAAGAGAAAAGAAGCAGTTGGGACTAAAAACTTTACAAAAGCAATAAATAGAATAATGATCCTTGATTAAGTCTCTTTTTGAGGCAAGATTGCAATAAGACTACAACTGTAGGATAAGCTTTTAAAATTTTTTAAGAGAATTTTCAATTTAAATTACTATGGCAACATACTAAGTAAATCATCAAAATCAAAATTTCTATTTTAGTAACCAAGGCAAAACCATTCATCAAAAACCAAAAACCGATAGACAGAATTATGTATCTTAGTGTAGTCTACTTGTGTGCCAAGTTATATTGAAATCAGACCAAAACTGTACGAGGAGTAGCATTTTAAAAAATTGTTTACAGACAGACAGACGGATGGACGACGGACGTATTACTATTGCATAAGCTTTTCTGGTCTCTGACCAGTAGAGCTAAACAACTCTCTTTTATATCAATTTCCCTTGCACTACATGTATATCCATTCATCCCATTGTAATTTTTACCTAGAATTTTTTAGAAAAAAAACATCGCAAATTTGTAGTAAAATCTCATGTAATTTGTCTGAGAAGTTTTTGATATTTTTTTTTTTTGAATCTCAAACTTTAGTTGCCAATTGTGACCCCCTTGCTACCTTCTGAGATTACGATTTTAACAATGAACTCATAGGCCACAACACTAACCTGAGTCACCATGACCCAGCTCCTCTTTATTGACAAATTCTTTTCCATAATTAAACGTTTACTTTTAGAGAAACGGAAAACACAACACAGGACACAACTGGCAAAATTGATCATAGAACCCACATTGTCTTTCAGCTCAGGTGGACTTACAAACAAATCTACACTCTATGACAAAGTTTTTACATAATAAAGTTTTAGGCAGAGTAGTTCTTAAAAAGATTTTTGAAAGACATAATTTTTCATTCTATATAATGTCCACTTGAAAGAAAGTATAGCTCTCTGTAACTGATCTTAGAGGACAGCCATTTGATTCTGAAAGGGGGGGGGCAAAATTTTTCCAAGTCTGATTATTAATATTCATGTTGGTGAAGGGCAGAATAATTTGTTTTTCAATTAAAAAATTAAAGCTGATACGCTAAAAAAAAAAAACAAAAAAAAAAACACCCCCCCCCCAAGAAAATAATGTTCAAAACTCATTCGTTGGTGGGGGGGGGGGGATTAATATTTGCAAAATCTGCAAGCCTTTTCAGAATAAAATGCTCATTTGTTTGTAGCACCTGCTTTCTTTATTCTTCTTGGTTACGGTTGAATTGGGAAGCAAATACAGTTCTTCTGCATGGTTTTTCTTATTCTTACTACAAACTCTATAAACCTGATGAATACACTGAACAACGGTTACACTTAAAGTTCAAATTTCTTTATCATAAATAATAAGATTCCTAGATACAGCACTTCTTCATCAATACATAAACATGCCTTTCATTCATCACATAATTAATTTGTATTATTAATTGTAAAATCACAACAATTTGTCTAAGTTCAGATTTTTTTCCAAATCTATGAAAACATTGAGAAATCTTTTATCACTAAATTGACATCACATTTGAAAAATATAAGTCCATAATTTATTTAGCTTGGAAAACAGAACACTGAATTTTAATCATTTATATTTGTTTTATGTTTGTTTTGTTACAAGAAATAAAATATAATCCATAACATTTAAATCAGTGCAAAAAATTTTGCCATTAGCAGAATCTTTCTAGTATTTATGATGCATTAATTTGGAGTAACAGATTCTCTACATTCATTTAAAAAAAAATGGTGAAAACAATCAGTCAGTTATTGTAAATCATGTACCTTTAAATTTGCTGTGATTCTGCTGCATAAAAAAATATATAGATACTGGTTCATCCATGACATTTTCACAGCATTCACCACTAAAGTCAGTACAAAGGTTTTATCAGGATCAGTATAAATACACTAATATTGGCTACTGATATGTACTTTTTACTTCTATGTCATGAAGTTGATGGTATAGTAAAAAAAACCAAATGAAGTGGTACATGTACATAGGGGGGAAAAAGTTTGATTTATAATATGACATTGTTACATATCTGTTTAATTAACTTCTTTAAAAATTCATGTTAAATTAAAACTGCTGCTGTAAATGCAAATAAATGATAAGCTTATGACCATATTTTACTTTATCTAAATCACTGTTTTAGATTAAAAATACAATGCCAATGTATATCCTTAATGTAAAAAAAGTTTTCCAAAATCTTTTGATACTATCAGAGGCTTTTTCAGATATAAAAAAATACCCCTGTATATCAGACAAATAAGAATGCCCTATTTAAACTCAGTATTTAGTTCAATATATATTACAAGTATAAGGCATAATGATGTGATGTCAACTACAAGTATGAATGGCGATCTAATGAAAATCTAGAGTGTTGGTTAATTTCAAAATATTTTCTACACCTCACTTTCACTTTAAAGATTTGTGAATACAATGCACTTTTCATTAATAAAACTGCAATCTTACAAGTAGGAAACATTCTTGTACAAATGACTAATGACTTTTGTTTTAAAACTAAATTTTTCTCACAAGTTCAATTCTTCTGAACTCAAATAATTTTGAAATCTTACACACAAAAAACTAAAATATGAATTTATGTTACAAATCAGAAATTTCCCCCTCCTCTGACCCCCCTCCATCTGATATGTCTGATAAGAAGTTGTTGAGTGACGTGTGGATGGGGGAGTGTACTTTGGTGCTTTGAGCGTGACTGTCAGAGGTAGTGGGCTTGTTGGTGGACTTTGCTGAAGACACAGACTGGAGTAAGTTGATCTGGGAATCAGTGGAGCTGTCAGATATCGGACTCAGACACAGGTTACCCTCCGATATCTCCTGGATGAGACTTCCCCCCACATCCGGGGGACTGGCGGGGGTATCCCTGCTCCTCCCTGGTCTATCTGTGCTCGCTGTACTTTGTGTGGCTGTGGAGGACTTCTTCTTGTGCCCTGTAGGATGTTTCTTGTATTTTACTGTTTCAGCAGCTGTGGCACTTTCAGCAGGTTTCATTGTGAGCTGGGTTGGAGCTGGTGCAGTTTTTGGTTTACCTACTGCAATGATTTCAAAATCGGAGTCAGAGGAAATATAGGTGGTCTTATGCTTTTTATGTTTCTTGTGCTTTTTATGTTTCTTGACTTTTTTGGACTTCTTGCTTTTGTGAAAGTATGAGTCTTCGCTACTAGACCTATAGGATGATCTTTTCGGACGTTCATATTCTGCTTCAATCACTCGATTGTATGACCTTCCATAATCCCATTCCCGCCGGTCTTCTAGGAGTCGAGGTCTGGACATTCTAGAATAATAATCATCTTCATAGGTTGGTCTGCTACTCGGGTAGTATCTATCTTCATAGTAATAGGGTTCATATCTCTCTCGTGACCTTGACCTAGTTCTATATCGCTCATGGTCTTTAGATCGGTGTTCCTTGTGACGTTTTCTTGGATGATGAGCATGGCCTCTCTCCCTTGATCTTGATCGACTGCTAGACAAATCATATCTGTGGCGATGATGGTCATGCCTGGATCTGGACTTTTCTTCAGGTCTTCTGGATAAGGTTTTGTCATCATGTCTAGTTTTACTTTTTTTCTTTTCAGTCCTTGATGACTGTTGGGCCACTTGGTCATCATCAGATTCTGAGGAAAGAAGCACTGCGGGACGTTCTTCCCATGGATTTTCAATAGACACAAATATGACATCACTTCCTATAGAGGACTCTGAATCACTGTTTTCAATTTTGATGGTGGCCTTCCCTGCACCACTGAACAACTCAGTAAGCATGGGAGGAAAAACTGGAATTCCACCCTTTTTCTTTGGTGGTGGCAGTGGGTCCTTTTCTGTTGACAAGGTAACAGTGGATATGGTTGTAGATACATTGGGTGGTGTAGGGGGCAGTGGTATCTGGGTTATTTCTCCTGAATCACTGTTGGTGTCCATCCAGGATGGTCCTGGTAATGGGGAGTCCCAGCCGGCTGAAGATAGACTAGGAGGCTCCTCCAGAAATTGTCGGACCCTATCTAGAATTGGTGTGACCTCAGTGTTGGTACTTACTCTACGTTCAGCAGGGGGTTCCTTGGGAAGACGGGGTTCCTCAGGATATGGTTCTGGTGGCAGGGGTGGTGCTTGTGAGGAGGGCTGTGGTGGTGGTGAATCTCCTACAGACAGGTCAATGGGGTCGGTACTAGATCCTCCCTGATCAATGATGATGACATCATCATCGTCATCATCATTTTCTTCCTCATCCTCTGTGGTGTCCACTGTTGATATAACTTCAACTGGTTGTGGTTCATACACAACATTCTGATCATAAGCACCTATATTGTACGGACTTTTGGCAAAAAATTCAAACTCGTGCATAAACTGTCTTGTGTGACGACCGAGGTGAGGATAAACATGATGGTAAAAATCTTCGCTGTTGATTGGAAAGGTTTTGATAAGTCCTAGAATATAGTCTAATAGGAACTGATCATGTCTGTCATTATTCATTAGAGCATTTAGTTCCCGATTTAACCAGGGAACCAGTCTGTGTAAAGTTGCTGGATTCCTCGTGAAGAACTCGGGAGTTACGTCCCTTTCCCTCAATCTCTGATCTTGAAATTGAACAGCTCTTAATCCATTGGTGTACACACTTCTTCTGAAGTCTGATGTAGCATTTTCTCTGTGTCTTCTCCACAGAGAGTGTGTTCGTGTGGTTGTTCTAGAGGGCCTCATTAAGGTATAGTCATGTTCTATATGTGACCTGTCTGCCTGGGGAAAGTCCAACATTAAGCGCCTCTCCAGGGTTAATGTTGTTCGATACCTGAACCTGTGATGCCCATTCTCAGCTTGAGCAGTGTTCTGTATGTCAGCAACACTAATCTGTTCATATTTTTCATAAGATAAAACATTAAACAAGATACTCGTATACTTCTGTTTGCATAGGGGACACTCTGGTTTCACTTTTGTCCATTCTTTCAGACAGGTAAAACAGAATTGGTGGAAACAGCTGTCTGTGAAAGATGTGTTATCCAATTTACCCAGACAGATGGGACATCCTCCGTCTGGTGAGCCCGCGTTTGATTTACGACTACTCTGTCCTCCATCTCCTGCCTTTTGTTGGTCCTCTGTTGTCAGGGTCTTCTCACTGGACTTCTCCAAATCCTTCCTATGCTTTGTCTTTTCACTGCTTCTCTTTTTATCATGTTTATGACTTTTACTAGATTTCTTTTTCTTGGTCTTTTCCTCCTCCATATTTGTACAGTGTAGATTTAATCTAAAATTGAAAAACACATTCCTTTAGGGACATCAACATATTAAGAAATTATAATTTGATATTTTTTAAACTCAGAGAAGAAAGAAAATACAAAATTCCAATCAGTTTCAAAGTAACAAATGGTCAAAACATGTGTGGACCTTTTGTAAAAAAAAAAAATGAATCAATTCAAAGTGTTGTGAAAAAGTACATAAATCAACAGAAAGATGTTTCATTTTTATTGATAGCGTAAGCAATTTTTAAGAATGACTTTTATGCTACTATGAGGGGAAAAAATGGCAGCAATACCACACATGATTTGTTCATGACGTGATAGTTTGTTTACTTATTTGCTGACATCATGCACAAAATAGCCGAATGGAGAGGGATGCCACCTTATTCAAATGACACTCAATTTGTCGGCTATAATTTTCATTATACTTTTTTTTTGGCAATAACGTCATTTTAGTGATGATTTAGTTGTAGAAGAATCATCCCTTTAGCGAGTTTTCGCGTCTCAGATGTAAGATCAGAAAAATAAACAGGTCCAGCAAAATACCCTGATAAAGGTATATAGCTTGATAAAGCTATATATTTTTATCAAGGTATTACAAATACCTTGATCAAGGTATTTTATGTAATAAAAATTCAAAAAAATTCTTTAAAAATCAAATACTGAAAGTCGAGTTCTGAGTTTTTGTCAGTGTGTCTACTTGTGCATGTAAAACACTCTGGTATCAAAAAGACAGCATAAAAGAACATCTCCTCACATGACATGATTTTATACCGATTTATTTGTGTTTGAGTTCTTTACATGCATGGGTGAATTTACTGACAACAACTTTTCTCAAGTAAGTTGTTTTTTGACTTTGTTTGCAAATCGTGTGCTTATTTTGATTCTTCCCTTGTGTATTTTTATATGTGAAGTAGAGAATAGAATGGATAAGATGCATCTGTGCTCTGACTCTTCCCTGCACATCTCACAATATAAAAAGCAGGGATTAGGGTCAGAGGAATCTCGGGTTATGTAAACAACTGGTACACATAACCCAGTCAGTGTTGGCTCAGCACGATCACTGCTTATTGTTTACCTTGTTATAATGTTTAACTTTCGATTCCTGTCCGAAAGCTACGTTGTTAGGTCGACTCGTTAGTCGTAGCTAAACGTAGCGATTATATCACCAGGCCTGAAACTAGTGAAAGCAAACGTGTCGAAATAGGCTAGATAAAAAATACATTAAAATTTTTGTTTTCAAATTTCTGAAAAAGATCTAGCTTACCTTGAACATGAAGAACTAGTCTACAAATAGGATGAATGGTTTCTTTCAACAATTCTTATCAAAAAGAACTGTTATGTCGTAGATCTTTTAAACCGGAAGCTGATTGTTCACAATCTCAGAACTTAGTTAGCCATTACAATGTTGTTTCTGCTTGTTCAAATACACAAATTGTTATTTGATTAAAGTATATATAGGCTTCTTTTTTTTGAGTTTATACCAAAAATTATGTCAAATGTTAACAATTTATTTATTTTTTGTACGAAAAACCTTGCAATTGATAAATATTGTCATTTGTACATTAGATACGAAGTTCAGAAGCTCGGCTTATCCAAAATGTTATCCAACGAATTTTACCTGAATTTACTCTGTTCAAAAGTTGTTTTAGCACATAGCTGAAAAAGGTCCAATGACCATGATGCGAGTTGCGACATATTTTATTTAAAATGACCTAACACATGGGGTCAATGTGGTCTTACTCGTTTTTCCGATATATTTCTTTAATATCGTTACGCTTATAGTCATAAATAGCTTTCTGGTCATATCCTAGTTAGATTACCTGATTACTGCATTATGCCATTAGATCAAAAAGTCGAATGAAGTAGAAACTTGGTAAGTAAATTTTGTAAATAAACAATTTTTAAGACTCTTTTGGTAGATACTTCATTATTCAGTAATTTAAATAACTTTTTGAATACAGTGATTTATCATGTTAATAAAAATTTCATAGTATTAATCATGTTAATGAAGTAAAGATAACTACATTACATATGTAGTCCTTAGTATGGTAAACAAAAAATGTATGTCTCCAATCATTACAGTTTATAACTTTATATATAGTTGACAATTATTTAAGAACTTCCTCTTTACATATTCCTCAGATCAGGTCCAGTACAATCTCTTGATTTTAAATAGCTATATAATTATATTCAGTATAGCTTAATTTAGCTATTTTACTACAATTTTTTCTTAAAGGTGTAATTTTCTCTGTGTGTACAAAAAAGCGCACCTTGGTGCAGTCATTATATACAACTTTGAACTCTTCTGAAAATAATGCATGTAAAAATCACTCATCAAATTACGTCTCCTTGAGAGACTTTGTACTCAAATCTAGTTTTGGGGCTATATAAAGCAATTGATACAGTTACTTCTGCGATGATATTATAATGGAGACCAATTATGTTCAACAAGATAATTGATTGGTAACAGTTCACCACAATGAGAAGCAGTCATGCCTCAAGGCACCCATGGTAGTGGACAGTTAGTCTAACAATAGAAATTCTCTTTTTGCTTAAAAGTATTCAATAGCTGCAAAGTTAGAACTATCTTTGATTTTGGTTGTTGTTTAGATAGCCCATAGTACCTAAATGAAGAGTCAAATACATGCGACTTTTTGTTTATTTTCAGCAAAAAACATTTTTGTGAATAAATGTATACAAATAGCTAAATATAGCTTAATAAAGCTATATAGCTATTTAAAGCTATATAGCTAAATCAAGAGATTGTACTGGACCTGCAGATTTTCAAACTAATATATTATTTCATCAGGCCTTAGGCCAGGTAAAATTAATCTATAGATTCTCATCCTAATTTGCTAAAAAATCGGGGCGGGTGGGCGGATTTTATTTTTTATTTCTTATAATTCTTAAATTGTAAGTATATCAACAAAACATATTGGACTCTTGTACACATTTTTTTTTATCATGTTTATTATGTCAATGCCAATTAATGAATAGATTTTATTTTTTTCATATTCTTTTAAATATGTAAAGAAAATTCTTGCATAAATTATTAGATATTTATTGTTAATTAACAAATTATCAAGTACACATATACCGGCACCCGCAAAACAAAATGAGGTGGGGTTCTGATACCAATAAATTTTGTATGCATGACTTCTAATCGGCCTTTCCCTAAATACCCTTTAGTTTTACCTACAAATCCCTCTGTTTTCTGTAAAATATATATTTCCACCTTCCTCAAAAATTGGATCGTTCTTGAGACTTGACATTTTCGACAATAAACTAGGTCATATTTACAAAATCTATAAAATATTCTAATAAAATATCCTACCGAAAAAACCTAGGCCTGAACAGTTTTAAGATTTAACATTTTCTTAGCACTAAACATTCTCTAAAGTCTGCCTACGATGTTTTATTTTTCTATCAAATCAAAATCACACACAGTAAATTGGAGATCGTTAAAACTTGACCAGGTGTCATTTTCCATGTCTATTTTTATACTTAGTTTTAAAAAATCTTAAAAAACTTGCTCATGCCAGTGATGGTATCTAGATGTGTTTATGCTATTATTTTTTCTCTGCCTTCTCTATACTGACAAATAATCTTTTCCTTACATATTTAAACTGCTTTTATTGCCGATTTTTCTCCATTCTTCATATGGCTCTTTTGCTATAAATAGCGACACGCGACTTTTAATACAGTCGGGAGATAACTCTTAAACTTCACCCAAATTCTTACTGAATAAGAATACATGAAAATATTAATGCCTTTATTAACACCAAAAAATCAAAATAAAAAACGCCGTGGCGGGAGACTTTGAGAGGGGCGGGCAGGGATGAGAATCTTAAGATTAATTTTATCTGGCCTTAACCGTATCAATTATTTCGGTATGAGAATTTTATTTATTTTTTCAATTTTGAAAATAGAACATCTTTGCTTGGAGCAACTTTTTTTTTGATAGATTGTAACATACAATTCTTATTCTTCAAATTTTGTAGACATTAAACTTGATAAAAGAGTCCCTGCTTCCTGAAAATCTAGAAAGGCTTAATGTTCAAACCACTAACTGGTTCCGAGGAGGGTAAATGGTTAGAGTAAGTGTTAATTTACATTCAGGAAAAGATAGTACTTAAAGTTATAATTTTTTAAAAATTTAATTTCAAACATTGTAAAAATGCATTCAAGCTCGACTACATTAGGCTTAAAGGAAAGAAAATAAATCTTAATCATTTTAGAAATTACTGGTACTTGAGAATTTCACTTTTTTTTAAATTTTGATTTTTGAAGACAATCATAATCCAGGTTGTTGATAATTTGAGTACTGTAGATCATATCACATTTTTTTGTGTTTTGACTCTTTTTAGCGAGACAAAATTTTCACGAATTGTGGTTACTGCTCTATATAATCTTAAGGAATACTATTATACGCGAGAATTAAATTTTGAGCTAACTATCTCGCGTTGTTGTCTCGCGAATAAAAAGTGATTTACAGTATTTATATGTACCGTAAATCACCTTTTATTTGCGAGAACTTTATTTTCGAGTAATTATGCGAGACAGTGAGCTCGCGAAAATAAAGTTCTCACGTATAATAGTATACCTTAAGATTTTATTGAGAAGTAACAACAATTCATGAAAATTATGTCTCGCTAATAAAGAGTAAATGATAATCTTGTGAAAATAAGGTGTCGCGAAAATTTAGTGATCTACAGTACTTAATCATGGGGGAAAATGAATGTAGAAAGTCATTGGAGTAAGTACTAAAAGTAAATTAATCTTGTGTTTCCCCCACAATTTAGGGAAAAATATGCTGATATAGATTATGAGAGTTCTAAGCATTGCAAAACTCTGAGATCAAAAAAAGATTCAAGACCAGAAGTTGTGACCCGGCTGTCTAAATGTACCAGGTGAGTGACAACTGTGCAGGAATCTTAATTCATAATCCCAATCATTTTTCTCTCAACCGCTGATTTTTAATGGCCATACATTTGATTATTGAGAAGCAATTTTAATACATTGTTACAGTAGTAGAAATACAAAGGTATCTGACAAACAGCAAGGAAGAAAGAGGTGTCATGGCTTCATTAACAATCTAGGAGAGACTGAGGAGGAAGCAGATACATCAGGTTTCTGGGTCACCTGTTTTCTAATTTGATGTGGTATAAACATCTTAAATTGAAGCATGCAGAGTTTTGCATATCCTTTTATTTATTTTTTTTTTTAATTATTATTTATAAGTGAAAAAAGAATAATAGAATTTTTTTCCAAAGTTCTAGCTGATTTGAAAAATTAAATAAACAAAATAATTTAATAAACACTAACTTGCAAATGATGATTTTAAATAAATTCTACCATCTGTGTTTTTGACAGACTCTGATGTGGAAATTATTGAAGAAGAAACAAATAGTCCTCAGAATGACAGCTTTTTTAAGCCACTGAGAGGAAATGAAGAGGCAGAAAGATTGGAGTAAGAACTTTCTGATATTTTAGTCATAGCATATTGTAAAATAACATACAAGTATATGTTTTAAATGAAAAGAGATTTAATATGAACGTCAAAGTAAATTTACACACCAAGAGAATCTTGAGGCATTTAACTTTGGGAATCAAGGCAAACTATATTGAGAAGAAGAGAGTGTTTTAATTTGATTTTTAACACCACTTTTATATTTTGTTTTATCTTAACATCAGCATGATATATAGCTCAATGTATTTGAATAAAAAAAAAATTTTGTTCTTCATTTCATTTACCTTGAATTTTTTTTTGTTTGTTTTTGTTTTTTGTGTGGAAAATTATTAGGCTAGTAGCGGCATCACCTCTGATGTCTCTCTTGCTTTGCCCTGGCATAAATGTATATTTGTATTCTTACAGAGTCAAATATAAAACTGAATTTGAAGCTGAGGATGAAGTACAAAGTTGTTCCACAGCTAAGAAACCCAAACTGACATTTATAACTACTGAAAATTTCGCAGGAAAATGTAGAGAATCATCAAAAAATGTGTATGTCATGAATATACCTCTTTTCAAAACACAGTGATGGCAATTCAGTTGCTTTTTAGAGTACTATTTATTTTTATGACTGTTTTTTTGCTTCTTTTTCTTTAATAATCGGAAAAATATGTACCAGGTAACACATGCTCATTGTATTTGTGCTATAGGAAAGCAAATATGAATTTTTCTAATTTATCTCTTAACTACTGAAGAGTATATTTATCTGAATTTTAAAATAATTGTTCCTGAAATATAATTATTAACAGGGATAGTACCAAAAAGCCAAGTACACCAAGACAATCACAAAGAAAGGAACAAAAATTGGCTTGTGCTGAATACAGTCCTGATACAGAGAAGGAGAAAACATTCACACATATAAAGCATACTACAGGTAATAAACATATGGAGACAACCACTAAATCACTCAGCTCCATAAATGTCACCATCGCTAGTCATGGGCGTCCAATCCAAAATGTACTGTTGTAGATTAAATTTTTTATCAGAGACCCAGAGCTGTTTACCCTTACTATTTCGTGGTATTTCTTACGGATTTTTAATCCCAAATACGCCTCACGTTTTGCTATTATGAAAGTACGAAAATGCGTTTCTTTGGAATTTAGCAGTTAGTTTTCATTATGATCTGCTGAAATATGGCTGAAAGAATGCCGACTCGGCTTAAAACAACAACAATCATTGACATTAGTTGCTGGCATGAAACAGACCCCTCCCTGCTCGATGGCCTTGAGTGCTGAGTATAGGACAAAATTTGCAGCTCTGCACTGGCAGGTGGTGGTGACTTGATGAGTAAAAAATTCTTGAGAGAGACATTATACAATCAATCAATCATTGTTATGATATGTCTCAGTTTCACGCCTTTTAATCACTATAAAAGAAAGAGATTTCAAGTGCATCAGTGATTTCAAGTTGCCAAAAATGCTGTAAGAACATGTTATTTAACCATGTTTTAGTAATCAAAAAAGCAGTTGTTCTCTAATTATATACGTAAAATCAATGGAAAGGAAATCTTAATGGCAAATGTTTAATCTCACGGACAAATCTAATAAAAAATACTGAGAGACGACGATATGGGTAAACAAGTCTGGAGACCCTTGACTAGCAAAAATGCATATGAGTTAAATCTTCAATAAAGAGTGAAGGAAGAAAAAGTGTCTCGAAGGATCATGCATGTAAACTTCACATGAGTAACATTTATTTTAAATAAGAGATCTTACATAAATAAATGTATTGAATTAATCAATTACTAAGTACTGTGACAACAAATATGTTTTTATTTGTGTATATAAGTTTGATGATTTTATGGTATTTGTTCAATTAAGGAAATGATCAAGAAGATTTTGAAAAACCAAGGTTTAGAGGCAGAATTCCTCCAGCTGCCAAAGTCCCCTTCAAGTTGTCTGACCCAACAGATGACAGACAGATAGAGGTTAAAAAAAAATCACAATTTAAGATTTAATGAACCCCAAGGTGAATGTCAAAGCTTTTCAGATTGCAAACTGATAGAAAAATGTGATAGAATTTAATGAATGAGACAATGAGATCTAGTTATAAGACACAAAAATTTTTGGTTAAACATGTATTCCAAAGTTAAAAAAAAAAAACAACTTTTAATTGCTATTTATTTATAGGTACCAGCTCCTTTGAATCAGCATCTGAGGGATTACCAGAGAGAAGGGATAAAATTCCTATATGACCACTACAATGAAGGAAAAGGGGCCCTTCTGGGGGATGACATGGGGCTGGGGAAAACTGTACAGGTCAGGAGAGGAAATAGAAATATTCTCAGACATAATATAATATATGATTTAAAAATTCTGCAAAGAAAATTTTGAAGTAAACTCATTTTATCATCAGTAAGTAAAATATGTTAGTATTTACTTGTTCCAGAAGTGATACTGTAAATGTATTTTATTTGGCGTGTACGATATTTGGCGGAAATTTTTTTTTTAACAAGTCAGTGTAGATCTGAATTAGCGCTTTCTGAATGTGCTTTATATGAATATATAAAAACAAAACATTTGAGATGTACTTGATTTAGCGAATGATGCTTTCTGCGAAAGGCGCTAAATACTGTTGATCACTAAATTTTCGCGATACCTTATTTTCGCGAGATAGTCATTGCCACTTTATGAGCGAGACAAAATTTTCACGAATTGTGGTGATTGCTCTATATAATCCATAGGAATACTATTCTATGCGAGAATCATATTTTCGCGAGCACTCTGCCTCGCGTAATTACGCGAAAATAAAGTTCTCGCTAATAAAAAATGATTTACAGTAGGATACACAGCAAAATATAATACGTTTACAGCACATGTAGTTTTTTTTTCAAATCAATGTACATGTAAGTGTTAAAAATAATTATAAAAATTATATTGATTTTAAAATACTTTCACTTTAGATATTTATAAAAGAATGCTTAAATGAAATTTTTATTTTTCTGAAGAAATGTATTTGTTGGTCACGTAGTAAAGATATTGTCCTTGTAGGTCATTGGTTTACTAGCAGCACTACTTGGGAAAAAGAACAATAAGGCAGACATCATGAAACAAAAACCAAGATTCATTAGAGAGGTAATTAAATATAACAGAAGATGATTTTTATTCTGAGGTAAATCAGTCTTTTTAATTGGCACTGAAATGCTCTGGATCACAAATGACCAACAACTGTCTCCGTTATATTTCTCATATATGTATTAATTTTATAAGTAACAATACTTGGGTGTTTAAAGCCTTCCTCTTTTTGTTACACATTTTTTTTGGGCATAAGTCTGCAATATTGTCTTTTGAGAGCCCCTCTGATTTATGTATTACCATTTACAGATGTCAGATAACAGTCTAGAAGACAAGCTAGATGAAGACACAACATACAGATGTCGGCCATTTCTTATCATTGGTCCGGGGAGTGTGCTGTATAACTGGATGGATGAGTTAGAAGCCTGGGGCTACTTTACTGTGGGGTCAGTCTCACCTTGTTTTCTGTAAAGGTAGGGAGGATTCTATACTGATTGAAAGTGATTAAACTCAGTCCGTTCTTTGTTTTAATATTTCACAGGAAATACCATGGTGGTGAGAAGTCGGAATGCCTGTCCAAATTAGAAAAACAAAGTTTAGAAATAGTTGTGACTACTTTTGAGACTTTCAGAGAAAATCTGGTAAGAAATGAAACTGCCATTTAAACTGTACAGACTTATGTAAATGTAAACATTTATTGAGTAGTGGCAGAAAAGCACCTGAATTTTTTTTTCATAGAAGAGGAAAATTAACACATATGGAATTAGTGATTTCATGTTTACAATTGTTGCATTTATTCTGTAAACTTTAATATAGAGTGAGCTGAATTCAGTGAAATGGGAAGCTGTCATAACTGATGAAGTTCACAGGATCAAGGTAAGTGCCAAATCAAAATACCACAGTACGTCACTTTTTTTATAAGACTGGCGTAGCAAAGGGTATGTCCAGACAAGAAAGGACAGATATTTAGTCTATAATTTTTTTTTTCATTTGGCATGTTAAAAAAATCCTCAAATGAAAGATGTTAAAGCTGCAGCATTTCTACAAAGCTTTTCTCTGACAGGGATTAAAAGCCCAGGTGACCAATGCTCTTCGATCAGTAAAAACTAGACGTCGGTTTGGACTGACGGGAACAGCTCTACAAAACAACATGACAGAACTTTGGAGTATTTTAGATTGGTCAGTAAACCAACCAGAAAGATTTATGTATATAAACCTTTTTAATAAAAAAAATATGTATTATTAAACATACATCTATGAATCTGATGCCATGGTTTAAATTCAATGGCACAGTTTGACTTTGATGTATAACTTACTTTTCCCTCTAGGGTCCAGCCTGGTTGTCTTGGCAGCATTGATGTATTTACAGAAGAGTTTGTGGTTCCCATAGAAACAGGTCAGAAAAGAGATGCCACAAAGAGGGAGCTGGCTATGGCCAGAAAAGGTACTGATGTTATTTACAAAGCACGTGTAATAAACAAATGAAGGTTAAAATGCAGCCACATGTATTTATGTTTTCCTTGTCTTCTAAATTTAAAGTGAAAGAGAAATTTGCTGCCATCAGAAATAAGATCATGCTTAGAAGAACTAAGCAACTGATTGCTGACCAACTGCCACAAAAAGGTAAAGATGGTTTGGTTTTATTTACATATATGTCAGATTTATAATTTGTAAAGGTAAGAAATACATGTAAGAGAAATTTGCATTATGCATTTTAAGCTTTTGTTTGAACAACTAAAATAATTTGGTTTTTTTTGGTACCCAAATTGAACATGCATAACCATTCATTTTTCTACTGTTTACAGATCTGATGTAAAAGTAACATTCTTATGTTTTATGACCAATGATGTTTTTTATCTTGTTCACAGATGATAATGTTGTGTTCTGTCGCCTGAGTGACCTACAAGAACAGGTGTACCAATTTATCCTGGAACACCCAGGCCTGAAGCATGTGATGTCAATGGATGACCCTTGTCACTGTGGCAGCGGGGAACCCCGTAAATACTGCTGTAAGGTAGGGGAAAACAGGGGGAACCCTGTAAATACTGCTGTAAGGTAGGGGAAAACACTTGGGAAAACCCGTAAATACTGCTTTAAGGTATGGAAATAAACCTATAACACTGAGGGAATCCCGTAAATACTGCTATAAGGCATGGGAAAATACCAGGGAACCTCCTGTAAATATTGCTGTAAGGTATGGGAATACACCAGGGAACGCCCATAAATATTGCTGTAAGGTATGGGAATACACCAGGGAACCTCGTGTAAATATTGCTCTAAGGTATGGGAAAGTACATGTACACTGTACCAGGGAACTCCCGTAAATTCTGCTATAAGGTTTGGGAAAACACCAGGGAACAACAAACAAACAAAACAAAAGTTCATCAATACTCGTTTATATTGCCGTTTTATAAAATCTTTTTATGTTTGTTGCTACATGTAACAAAATAAAATTTTACTCTTTGGAAAGGTGAAAATTATGAAAAAGTTATTTTTAGCTAAATTAAAACTTGACATTGAAATAATTCAGTTGATATTGTACTATCAGGGCTGTGATAATAAAGATGAATTTTAAGACAGGTAATATATTTTGGTTTCAGCAAGTGATGAAGGAGGTGACTGTTACGGGGCTTCAGTTTATTTTTATGCACCTCCTGCTGAAGGTCTCTAACCATGCTGCTCTACTGGTCGAGAACCCCCATCGTGAACTGTCCCAGTACTCCAAGATGATCTGTAAATCAGTGTTTGAGGAGTTTCCTCATTTCTACAACCACACCAGGGAGTCGGCATTTAGAACCCTGTCTGATCCTAAGTACTGTGGCAAAATGAGGGTGAGAGAAATGTTCACTTTATGTTTATTTTTATATCTTTAACAGTACAAACGCATGTAAATCTATAAATATTACTGGATGTAAAGGGAATATTTACTGTATTTCTTGATCTTTTTAATTTAAATCTTGATTTTGACTGCCTAAAAAACTTATGTGATGATGTTTAAATGGATTTAATATATAAATAATGTCCAATGGTTTGACAGATCCTGCAGAGGTTGTTGAAAGTTTTCCAGAGAGACCACAGCAAGGTGCTCATCTTCTCCTACAGTACCAGGGTGAGATAACTCTGTAATTACTAAAATCAATGTCTCTATATTTATAACTATGGTTAGGCTTAACAAAATGCATTCCAGAAAATGGCTTGTTATTGAGATAAAAGGCTTTTAAATGTAGACAAGTTGTATTCAGTTATGTTGACTTGGTGTTTGTGTGTGAATTGTAGGTATTAGACATTATTGACCAGTATCTAATCACCACTGGGTACGAGTACCGGAGACTAGATGGCAGCACTAGTATGTCCAAGCGGTCAGTGCTGGTCAGAGAATTCAACAAAGATCCAAACATCTTCTTGTTCTTAATCTCAGCTAAGTATGTTACTATGTACTCAGAATTCTTTTGGATTGTATTCTTTTAAGCATGCCATTTTAAAATAGACATTTGAGTTGATACCTGTAAATAAATGTAACATTTTTTTTCTGTAGAGCTGGGGGATTGGGTTTAAATCTGACAGGAGCTAATAGAGTTATTATTTTTGATCCAAGCTGGAATCCAACCAATGACCTCCAAGCACAGGATAGGTATGCAATAAGCAATAAATATCATCTTGCTCAGTTCAATTCTCTGTAATTTTCCTCACTGTTTTCTTTATTTTGTTTTGGGATTCTGTTTTGGTCAGCAGTACCGTATATACTCGCCTATAAGTCGGAGTTTTGGGAGTTAAACTTTGATTCAAAACTTTATGTCTGACTTATAGGCAAGATATAAAGATATTTGTATTTTAGAAGGTCAATATTTCTAACATAAGCTTAAAAAATACAACCAACTTATAGGCGGACCGACTTATAGGCGAATATATACAGTAAATGTTGTATTTTGACAAACTGTAATTCACATGGATGATTTGTACAGAGCCTACAGGATTGGTCAGTGGCGAGATGTACATGTGTACAGGTTAATATCATCTGGTACCATAGAAGAAAATATCTACCTGAGACAGGTGTACAAACAGGTAGGAACCATAGAAAATCTTAATATTGTACCTATAACTACCTGTAAAGTATTGGTCTGCTTAGCAAATACCAGGTATATATGTACTTGTAAACATCTTCTCCCCTTTCCTACACCATGTTTAGCAATTAGACAGTGTAGCTGTTGGGACAGAGAATGCCAGGAGGTACTTCCGGGGGATAGCTGGTGACAGGAAGAGGTACGGGGAACTGTTTGGAATAAAGAACATGTTCCAGCTCCACACTGGAGACTCCAGCAGGACAATGGAGATACTTAAGGTAAGAAAAAACTGAGTCAGGTGATGTATTGCAACAGCTTTGTACATTCCAGAGTACTTTAAAGTAGATTTAACTTATGTGCAAGTTATTTCCACAAGATTTGTGACCTTCCTTCACTGTACTTGCAACATTTTCAACAAATATTTTTCTATAATGAATATCATACTCAAGGCCCACTATAAATTGTTTCAGCAAAATGAGAACCTGGAGGAGAGTCTGACAGAGTTTAGAATGGCTAAGTATGTCCCTGGGGCGAGTCGCAGAGTTAGTGTGGGAGAGGAGGACCAGGAGGAAGTTGGGAGTGAAGATTCCCAGACAAGCGAGGAAGAGGAAGACTATCTGTCCAAATATCTGGATTTACATCGTAAGTCTGGCTTTTATTCTACTGTAATGTTTTCCAGATAGAGGAGAATATTAATATGTTCCTTATTTTAGAACTTATTTTTAAATGAAATTAAATACCTTTTTTATTTTTTCTGGTTTGTGACACTATAGACAGTGATAGTGAAGCAGAGGAGGTCAAAAGTAAAATGTCAAAGGTCAAGATCAAGAGAAAGAACAGTAAAGGAAAGGATTCACCCACAAAAGAAGGAACCCTATTAGGTAACTCTCTCTGTACCAAGATAATTCTATAGAATTCAATTCCATTGGAAAAACATTCGGGTATTTGGTTAGTGTATTGTCTTCTAATGCTGTGGAGAATTGTGCTGGCCAGATCCAGTTGGACTCAAAGCTGGTCAGAGCTAGAAAGCTCATGATACTCAGGTGATAGCCAAGGCCTATGAGCCTCTTTTCTAGAAAAAATGACCAGATCATAGGGTTTTTTTTAAAAAAAGATATTCCTATCTATGTTAATTTAAGCTGTCCCTTGACACTTGTATGGATAGCATGCACACTACCATACATGGTTTGGATGTTGAATCTTGCTAACATTCTCCTGGTAATTGTACAGAAAAAGTGTCTTTTGGAGGAATTCCATTCCCAAATAAATGAAAGTCCTTCCCACACCCAGTTAGCATAAAATAAATGTTGCATTTGTGGATTCACACTATCAGAGTATTTGTTTGATGGTGTTGCCTAACTAAATTTTAAGATTTGTTGCTGTGAGCTCTGCAATCTTTGCTAACCTATTTGTATTTATTAGAAACCAAGGTCTCTGCTATAAAGCTATTGAAGATGAACTCTTTGTCAGGTGATGAGGATGTTGTTCACGTGTTGAAGAATAGTAAGATTGTGGGAGGGAGTCGGGCGGAGGATCACATGTCACGGTGTGCCATACAGGACGTGTTTGAGCTCCACCAGAATTCCCAGGAACTGGCTGCCCACTGCCAGCCACTATCAGAGGTAGGCATCAGCGGCTTTGAGGGATTCTCTAAATTTAAAGATCAAAAATCTCTTTTAAGTTTTTTTACATTTACAAAAAGAGATCAACTAACCTTAAAATGCATAAACAATGTCAAATCAATATAAATGTCAGGATTAAAAGTTTTATACCAGCTGAAGATCAAAGTATTTAATATACAGTTGTATTTAAAGGTATTTTTTACACATTTGGGGATAAATTGGATTGTGAAGTTGGGGGGGGGGGGGGGGGATTTGGACCTGAATATCCAGATAATTAAATTATTTTTGCTATCAAACTGGTAGCACAATTAGAAAAAAAAACATATTTTTTTTATCATTATTTATCACTATCCATTATAAGAAACAAAATCTTTTAATTACACTCCATGTGATTTTCTCTCTCAAAGAAATTTCAGATGTACATATATTAACAACAGAGTTCACACTAGGCTCCTTTTCTGGCTCAGCTTCAGACTCCAATTTCCAAAAAAAGTCATTACAAATCTGTAGTAATTTTATTGCAAGGATTTTTCTCTCTTTTTTGGTTTAAAAATCACTCCAATTTCCAAAAAAAAGTGTCATTACAAATTTGTAATAATTTTATTGCAAGGATTTTTCTCCCTTTTTTTGGTTTAAAAATCACTTTTCAACCCATTCAAACATCCGTAAGATATTAAATGTATTAATACATAAAAAGCTTAAGACAAATGTTTCTTATCAGCCATAGGTCAACAAGTTTCTTGACAAAGTTTATTTTTTAGAGAAAGGAAATTGTTATTATATTAAATATATGGAAATTGGTGTTTATTTTTGTATCTTTACAGCCTGAAAGTGAGGAAGATGTAAAAGAAATCAAAGGAAAACAAAGCTTTATCGTATTCCACCACAGTAGGAAATAAAAGAGTGCTTATTGGTCAAACCCCTCCATTAATTAGAATGTATGCATATACAATGTGTACCTTATATTTCAGTTAATCTGGATATTTAATAGGTCATGAAAGTTTTTCAAACAAAATTGTTTAATATGTGCGACAACTATGACTAAAGAAGCAGTAAAATGCGTTACTATAACAAAGTGACAGGGTTTTACGATTCTGCTTCGTTATAATCGTAATTTGTTATATCCGTTTTTACAATATATTTTAAAGTCATGGCGAACTAAAATCACTTTGCTGTAATTGTCAATATTCATTATGAATTTTTTCACTATACGAGGGGTGATCAAAAAGTTCACAAACTAATTGAATAACTTCCATACAAGAAACAATATTTGGTTTTAATGTTGATTATATTTTAAATTAATCCTCCCCGATTTTCATGCACATCAAACACCATTCTGCGCATGCGTGAATCACTTGATATTGGCGGTCACGTGACCCCCTCCATAGCGTTCTGTCACAAAAGTTAAAAGATTTTTCCGAGTTTTATATTTCTTTCCATGTGAGTTAATTTTTATGACAAGAACAGTTAATTTGTCAGAAATGGTCATATCTCGGCAACAGAATGGGTGGATAATAACATCCTTTCCAAAAATAAGCATGGCAACCATTAAAACACAAATCTGTCTCAGGAGAGACCTTTATTCAAGGTGGATAGAGAATGGGTGCATCCTTTTTATCATATCTAATATGTTTAAAATCTAAAGTAAAGGATATCTTAGGTATTTAATACTTATATCATTGTTCAAATATTCAACTATTTTTCAAAGTGCTAATTGGAGGTCTTTGATAGGAAATTGCTTAATTAAAAATGCATATCTTTTCAAACTTGCTTTCACTTGGCAAGATGACAAGTATCAATTTTAACCATCAGCCTTCCTTCACTAAAACGATTAATCCAATCATTAATTGAATTTATAGGAACTCATTTATCTCAATAAACTGTGTACAAATTATTATATGATATTGTAGAGGGGTTTCTAAGATATTACAATAAATTGTACAGTCGTTTGTTAGTTCAATACAACCATTTTTCGTCACAAGTGACCTAAACAGTGAATTTTCACATTGTGACGTCACAAACAAGGAGAGAAACTTTATTCAGCATATGCTATTTATAGACCTTGTGTATGGCTATGTGTGTACCGAATTTCATTCTAATCTGAATTGTGGTTTTGTAGATGTAGAGATACATGTAGTTTGCGAACTTTTTGATCACCCCTCGTAAGTATGTTTCACTGTACATATAAATGTATTTTTCTTCATAGGAAGCATTTTCAAGAGATGACAAGGTTCAAGAAAAAGGCAGCAATGGTAGAGCTGGCTGAAGATATACTGAAATCTTCTTCTGGTGAAAGAAAAAATATGCTAGAGCATTTCTACACACATTTACACCCTGACATTTCTAATATTTTCAAAAAAGAATCAACAAAAATGGATACTACTTTAGAAAATAATAGGAAAGGTGGGAATAAGGAAGTTTGTTCCTTTGCATATGAATATTTAAGTCTCGTAATTGTAAAAAAAAAACTAAAGATTTTTATTAAAATTATTATCTGTGTGTCTTTCTCCAGCAGATTCCAATAAAGAGAGACAGAGAAAGAAGAGAAAATCTTCAAATAGTAGTATGATAAAGAAATCACCCATAAAACCATCACCCTGTGTTGTGACAAGAGAAACATTTACGACTGACGTCAAGAAACAAGGTGTAAACGTGGTTAGAAAAAGAAAACCTCCCCTCTTTGTACCAAGTTACATTGAGATAAGTGATGATGGAACAATGGATACCTCACACGAGGGTGTGGATTTCAGCACAGATGATTTGCTGCAGGAAATAGCCAAACAGAATGATGAAAAGAATGCTGAAGAGGTCGGTCAGAAGGAGGAAAGAGTGACAGAAGTGGATGAAGAGAGAATCAGAGAAGACATTGAAGGGCCTAGCACCTCAGATACATCAGTTCTGGATGAACTCTTCTCACCTTCCCTGATGGCAAGAATTCAAAGAAAACCAGCACCAAAGAAAAGTAGACAGGGAAAGACTAAATGTGATGGGTCAGATGAATTGTTTTCAGACTCTTCCTCAGCCAAGGGGGAGGGTGGGGAGGAAGGAAGAATTAGAATGGACAACACATTAAAGGATGATGATTTAGACTGTTTCACTGACCCATCAAGGAAAAGGAGGAAAGGGTCAAGGGCACAGAAGATTGTGTCAAGGTTAATTGAGGAGAGCGAGGCCACATACAACAGACTTCCGAAGGTGGCCATTGGAAGTCAATTAGATCAAGTGGAATCATGTGACAGAAGTCCGAGTCTGTTCTGATGGTTGATAAATGGATATGAAACATACACTTGTGTACTGTGCTTATACATGTACTCCAGTCTAGAGAAATTTTAGGACCAAGGATATCTAATTTCAAGTTGTTTGTGTTTACAAATTTTATGCTGAAAGTTTTAAGTGAAGTGTATTTTAACAGGAATCTTAATTTTTAAGTTTTGGAAAATTCTGCATAATCATCAGAAACATTGTCAGAATTCATTTTTTTTAATCCAAGATGGACTGTACCATTTTATTTCCATGATTCTAGTATATTATTTTAAAACCTGTGTTTTAAATTTTTTGGATAAAACTCAAACCTACATGTTACATCTTTTAGTATCATTATGTGGTGCTAAGTTGTTATATATGGAAAATAATAATTACACAAAACCTGTGATAATCTTCTTTATTGAATGGACACCTGACAAACGGTTTATCCATTTACCTGAGAATTACCTCTTCTGAGACAAGACCAATTTTTATACCCCACGCAACAAGTTGCGTGAGGTATAATGTTTTTGACCCGTCGATCAGTCAGTGTGTCAGTCAGTCAGTCCGCCAGTCCTGGTTTTTTTTTTGTCAGCACAACTCATAAACCGCTGCACACAATTTTGTCAAACTTTGCAGATATTTAGGACACAATGTGTAGATGTGCATATTACCAGGAAATTTCCGCAATTTTCAACTTAGATTTTTGACCATAATTATCTTGAATATAGAGATGAACAGTTTGTCAGCGCAACTCCTCATAAACCGCTGCACACTATCTCGTCAAACTTTGCAGATATTTAGGACACAATTTGTAGATGTGCATATTACCATAAAATTCCGATTCCTTTATTTTTCCAGGAATTTCGGCACTTTTCTACTTAGATTTTTGGCCATATCTTGAATATAGAGATGAATAGTTTGTCAGCGCAACTACTCATAAACTGCTGCACATAATTTTGTCAAACTTGGCAGATATTTAGGGCACAATGTGTAGATGTACATATTACCAGAAAATTCCGATTCTTTTATTTTTTCCAGGCATTTCGGTACTTTGACTTTTGGGGGAGCGTGGGGTATGTGAGCTTGCTCACGTTTTCTTTCATTTTTGTTGATCGACCTCAGAATATGTTGATCTAGTCAGGGTCTCTATGACTTACTTTTGCATTTTAGTTGAATCTCTGCCATGACTGACGATAAAAAATGGGTGGGAACTGTTCCTTCGCCATGCACTTTGCACTTGAAGAGAAGTTTCGTGTCCTTCGGATGGGACCTTAAAAACCAAGGTACTGTGTCATGGCAGACATTGACAAGATAAAGATCCCTCACTGCTCAATGGTCCTGAGTGCCGAGTAGAGCTCCAGATTTGAGACACTTCACTGGTATATGGTGACGTCTCTACATTAATGAAAAAAATTCTCCAATTGGACATGATACAACATACGATCAATTTTTTAATCTATTTCAATATGAAGTTTGACAGTATTCGTTTTAAAAGCAGTTAAAGATATCTTCTACATATAATGGTAGTGTTTCAGTAGATCAGTAGCAACATGAGGGGATACAATTTGTTTTGAGTTTGAATACAAGTCTCAAACGAGGTAAATTACTAGTATTGACAGACAAATTGCAGAAAGAAGATTTTCAGTAGTCTTGTTTTTAGTCATTATTTCATAAGTTCTATGGTCGATACAATTGACCTTGTCAGCAAATACAATTTATCATTAAATATTTACATCCACTGAATATTTTCTCCTTTATTTTTTAAAAAAACCCATTGCGTTAATCACTGCATGAACTACATTAGGCATGTCGCCTGTACAGATTTCTTGATCAGTGGCTGTTCCATCAATGAAACGTATAAAGACGTTAGCATGAACTACATTAGGCATGTCGCCTGTACAGATTTCTTGATCAGTGGCTGTTCCATCAATGAAACGTATAAAGACGTTAGCATCATTAATACAATAATTAATCTTTTTTAATTCTACTTTAAATGATTATTTACGCGGGTTATGTATTTTTTCTGCAACAGCTGCTTCCGTTAATTCCAGTAATAACAAACAAAGAAAGCATTTTATTGTTTAATTTAACTGACGTTTTTCATACTAATAGTTAGGCCATTATTTACACACTGAATTGTCGAAGGATTTTTCCATTATTTCATTATTATGACAAGGAGCACAGGGCGGGTGTGAACGGTCGGCAGGAGATGCCCACTCCTCCATGGCACCTGATCCCACCTCTGACGTTTTGGAGGTCCATGTTTGCTCTGCTCTAGTATTGTTTAATGGACTTTTGAGCTTGAATACTGTTTGTTATCTCCATATACTTCATTGTATGAGATGGTTTATCTAAGTTTGGATACGAGTTTCTTTACTCTAAGTCTAGATACGGATTGTTTATATCCGAAGAATTGTTTTTAGAAGCTTCAGAGTTAACATACGAGTTGCTTTATTCTAAGTTTGAATACGATTTGTTTCGTTGAGATTGTACAAATGTATGTAATAAAATATATATCCAATTGACCTGTATCCAATATATAATAATGATTCAGTTGTAAACATTTTTTTCTGAGTTTGGATATGAGTTGTTTGCATCAGGAACTCTATTCTTATTTTGGATACGAATTGTGTATATCAGAAGCCTTATTCTATGTATGGGTACAAGTTTCTTTACTCAGAGTTTCGATGCGAATTGTTTATATCAGATGCTTTACTCTGAATTTGGATTTAAGTTTCTTTATTCTGAGTTTGGATACAATTTTTTTTTTCAGAAGCATTCTGAATTTGGATACGAATTGTTTTTACAAGGAGCTTTATTTTGAGTTTGAATACGAGTTGTTTGTATCCGTTTAAAAGATGCACGTTGGGATTGTATGCATTATATCATCCTATTGATCTGTATCCATATATAGTAATGATGCAGTTGTTTATGCAGCATTGAATATTAAAGTAATGTATGCATAAACAGAGAAATCATCAAAATATTAAATACCTATGTTAAGATATATAATTAATTATTATTGGAGATATTGTAGATGTAAACCTTTGATAAACTTTTAAGGAAAGTAAAAAAAAAGCAACCTGAAATTCATTAATTAATTATTAAACTATACTCATTATATAAATGGAAATTAGAGTCGTTCCGTTATTTTTGACAGCTTCAGCAATCGATACGTGCACTGGAAAATCCGTGAAACATTCCCAGCTTCCGCTGTCCCTCAGTTACTTTTCTCATTTTCCGCGCTTCTTAATTATACCCTTTGTATCGCAAGATTTAGTGCGGACTTTCACAGAAGAACACAGACACGATGTGAAATCTAGAGAATAGAAGAAAATGTTTAATTATCTTATCCCGAATCTCTCCCTCGTTTTCAAGACAGAGAACTGTGTGTGAAGCAAATCTAATGATATTGATTTCATCATAAAATATAGATAGTCTCGAATCGGAGCTCGGGAAAGCCTTCCATTAAGCTGGTAAGATTTTGAGCAGCAAATATTCAAACAATAATTAAAGTTTAGACACAGTGGCAAGACTGGATCGATAGAGACCGTACTAGCCGAGTCGCTCAAGATGTGGGTTACAGACAAACGAGGCAGTGTGCAGAACTCCGCTAATCATCGATGTCTCTTGCAATCAACATTGTCGTTCATTTGTAGACCAAGATAACGATGATATATCATTGAAATTAACGTTGTATTTATCCCCATAAGAATATATTTTTATGGCTATTGGACCATTTTCGGGACATTTGAAGTCAGATGTAGCAATATAAAATATCACCACATTAATTGTCGGAATTCCAATATTTATCATGCTTTAACTCGTGCAGGTCTGAAAAGGGAATGACACGAAAATGTAAAATTGATTAAAGCTTTCGGATAAAGTGTCACATCATGTGACATAAATGTGTATTAGCATGTTCTAGGAATTAGGTGTAGGAGTACGGAAAACAATTAAAAAATGATCGATTTTCATCCACTGAGCGGCCTTATCGTAATTTACAAATCGATACTGAAAAATAATAGAATCCTGTGAAAGTGAAAATCTCCCACACGACATATTTAGTTTATGAGTTGACATATGTATGATTTTTTTCGTATTTCAGGATATTCTGTCACAGCAGCCAATCAGTTCAGGGTGTCGTCAGAAAAAACAGACGGAATCGCAGTCAATATCGATCCGTCATAGAACTGCCACAGAGCAACACATTGAAAAACGGATGACGAAAAAGCCTCTTTTTGATTTGGAATAATTTTCATCAATGGAAGAACATTTTCTCGTGTTTTTGGTGAATACCATTGGATGACTACGGACGGAAGCGAGGGGAAATAACTCAGTGCCAAGGCTGGTCCGACGTCATGTCATTGCAGACAGTCTGAGGTTTGTCATAAAAGTACTAAAGCTACCTTAATCATGACTTGGGCACTATATCTCATTAAAAAAAATTAAAGGATGAATATTTCTAGGGTGCTTGAAGTTCTTCCTCGAAAGTCACATATTCATGGAAATAAAACGTTATAAGTTATGATTGTTTGAGGTCTAGTTCATAAAGAACCGTGATAATTGTATTAGCTGAGGTATCTTCTCTGCACGTTCATGATTTGACAAATCTATGGAATGTTAATTAAGCAATAATATAATGATTCTTTGTTATCAACTTGTGGCCTTTAGTTAATTCTATGTGTTACTAACTTGTGGTCTTTAGTTAATTATGTGTTAATTTCCTGTGGTCTTTTGTTAATTCTTTGTTAATTTCTGGTAGTCTTATGTTAGTTCCGTGTTAATTTCATGTGAACCTAAGTTAATTGTGTTAATTTCTTGTGGTCTTATCTTAATTCTGTGTTAATTTTTAGTGGTATTATCTTAATTCTTTGTTAATTTCTTGTGGTCTAATGTTATACAAGTCTCCTTCTGAGTATTATAAAATAGTCCACAGCCTCCTACGAAATGAATATGGCTCTGCGTCACATTGAAAGTACACTGGTATTGAGTGACGAGAAAGTACTAAAGTAACATGCACGTAAAAGGGGCAATCAAATGGCGTACGGTCTCCGTGGAACAATAAGTGGCACGTATCTTTGTATTGTCATCACTATGTCTATAAAAAAAACAAATGTCAGGTTGCAATTAATTTGATGAAAGAAAGTACGTTTCTCGAGTAGTAATATAAACATCAGCTTTCACGCCTGTAGAAGCTAGTATATATTTCGAGTTTTGTAGCTGCATGACGGGTGCGGTTTCCACAAGTTTTCAGTGGTTTTCGTGATTATAGTATTTAGACCTGTCTTTTTCTAATGTGAGTGTTATTGGATGGAACTGGGAACTAGATAATGACCAAGGTCGTGGATAAGTCAAGATATTTTTTTCTCTGTGACATAGTCACACTGGAAAGGAAAAATGTGGAATTTCATCAAAATCACTAAAAGAGTCCAGCCCAACCGTATATAGTGTTTGTCAATTCCTTTCGATAGGTCTTGACCCTTGGTTAGGAAATATATATTAATTTATTAGTAGAGCGGTTATTATCTTTGTAAGGGAGAAAATGAAGGCTGAATTAATACTGTATTATACTAACCCAAATACATTGTATTCTATTCTCCTACTTGAACAAATGCTAAGAAGTTTTCTACACAAGAGCTTACTCTGAGTACGACAACTTTTCAAAGCGAGGCAGGCTACTCACAGATAAGTTGTTGTTACACCGTGCAGGGATTTCAACTCGTTTAAAGTTAGCACTTCGTATAGTTTTTGGTCGTTATCATGACCTAACCCTTCATCGGTTCATCTTTTTGCTGACTTATATCATACCAAAAGTTAGGCCTTTATTTTTATACTGAATTGACTACAGAAAATTCCTTCTACGTGTTCAATACTTAGGGCACACGGCGGGTGTGACCGTTCAATAAGGGATGCTTACTCGTCGTAGGCACCTGAACCCCACCGCTGGAGTTCCAAGGAGTTCTTATTGTATGTAATTGACCAATTCACATATTTATGTTGTTCAAATTATGAATCACGGTTCTTTTTCTTTATACCTTTTACATACGTTCTGATTTTCATCTAAACATTATATAAAATCTGTAATCTCTAGTCTTTTTTTCTTGGCAACCTTCACTCAACTTCTGTGGACTAGTTCTATATAAAAAAGCTTTGTCTTGTTTTTTAAGCGTATGGATGCTTAAAAAATTTTGTGTTACATGGTTTAAATTAGTCTTGACAAAGTATATGTTTTCTACCTGCATTGTCTGAGAAGAAAAACCTACGTCAGCAGTAATAAGTACACTGTATATTTATTGATTCCATAGCTTCTGAGGAATGATATGCATTTAACACGTGGGAAACACAGAGAATCGTATTATTTTTGTAAGTTTGAAGTTTACGGTTTACCCGATTCCACCACAATTATATCTGCATATTTACAGTAATACTTATGAAACTAAGTATAGTTAACGATTCCGTAAAACTATATTTAACGGTTGTTAACTATGGAATGTTAATTTAAGTTTTCTGTAATAAAGCGTTAACAATAGATTTTGTTGATAAACATAATACTTATGAAACTAACTTTGGGGTTTCGTATCTTGAATTTGGTAGTATTAGAATCTGACACTTCTTATTCATATTTAGATTTTTTACAAGAAAAAGTTAATAAAAAACCTGTAAATAATTATTGACAACAAGTACGATAGACGTTATGACGTCAAATTTTCTATCGTCAACTTTCCTTATTTACCCGGTATGTAGCAAATACATGTATACCTAAATCACTTACGAAACATATTTGATACACAAGAGCATGCTCTACACTGTTAAACCAGTAATTTCGAGAACAAAGGAAACTAATGACAAATAAGTTGATGAAACAATGGTATCAAGGATATCTTTTTGAAATCATTTTTATTCTATGGTCGATAATATAACCGTGTCAGCAAATACAATCTATTATTAATTCGAATACTGACTGACGTTTTTCATACAAATTGTCAAGCCATTAATTTCACACTGAATTGTCTACGAATTTTTCTATTTGTCCGATTATGACAACAATATAAGGAGCAAACTCCGAGTGTGACTGTTGTTCGACAGGGGATGCTTACTCCCCCATGGCACCTGTCTCCACCTCGGCTGGTTTTAGAGGTCTGTGTAACTGTTTCTTCTTCTCCAAAGTATTGTAACAACGGACTTCTGAGCTTTATTAAATACTGTATGTATTTCATTCAAAGAACCTTTTTTATGCGGTATGACCAGATGATCGGGTTGGGGACGAGGATGGAATATGATTTTTAAAAATCGACAAACAAACAAACTTGATAGTTTTTGTACCAAGCGCCATTTGATATTTCTGTTTGTCCTTCAGTGTTTTGCTTGTTATTTGTTAGCAAGGTAGGAAACCTATCTCATTAGGTGACCAAAATTGGTTCTGGCGACAGGCTGTAGAAAACATCTGAAGAAAACTAATAATCAATACAACATGACTGCAGGCAATCTGATTCTGATATCCTCCCACACCGACTGTGACGTCATGACAGCGTGGGAGGCTCAAGGTTTCTAAGTCATACATGTATGTCTCAATTTCTTTCTCAATACAAAACGACCCACCTACAAAATAACCATCTGCTAATAACTTTGGCATTCTCAGTCACGGCGTTCAATAACATCTTTATTGGTGAAAGCAGAAAGAAATCCCGGTTCTTTTATAAGGTCAAATCACCTGCGTGGGGACGATTGCCTGTATATTTCCTTTACTTATCCTTCGCAAAGCCGGCAAACGGATGCTGTGCTCAGTTGTTGTTTCGATATATAATACTACGCAGGCTAATTGCTGATGGTGAAATGATAATTCGATTAACAGTGGAGTAATTACGACAGTGTTGCATTCATTCAGCACCCAGATTTACTAGAAATCACAGCGTCATATAAATGTTGTGATCACATTTTTAATACCGATGCGTTTGTAAAGTTTTTAGGAAGTGGTCAACATATCAGTAAATTCATGTGCATGATAAAAAGCAATTTTTGGACACACTTTATATGACGATGAAAGGATTTATTAAACAAAAATCTAGAATTACAGAAACGAATAATGCAAAAATTCGACACGTTTAGATTGGTTTAATACTAATTCACTTGACAATTTGCTAAGGCACCATTTTTTTTTTTTACCTTTTCAGAAGTTGTTTAAATTCCTAACAGAGCGCTGATTCTAATAAAACAAGAATGACCCCTGGGAGTAGAATAAGCCTCAATGGGGAATCAAAGCATTGATATATCCACCCACTCTGGCAAGGAAAGAACCCTCGTATTTCATTCACGTACTATGAAGTCTTGTCCTTCCGTTTGCATCGCTTAAAGACAGTAAAGCCTAAAGGTCTTATTCCAAGGGCTGGTCTTTCAATCCATCACAGAGTACATAGAAAGTAACGTCCTTAGTTTAAACCCTAGTAATTAAAATAGGCCATTCAACTGGTCATTCACATACGTAATTTACCAAATTATTCACATTGGTCATTCAAACAGATCATGCACTTGGTCATTTACATAGGCTTTTTACCCCTAAATCTGTTCTTTACCAGAGAAAGCAATGTTTATTTTTTTTTCTGAAGATAACCATCGAAATAAGTAATTTACTCTGAAGCCGATGTGATCCTTAGCATAGAAGGTAATGCTCCCTCATTCCTTCGCCTTGTCCTAACCAGAGGAGGTAATGTTTCCGTACTCCTTCGCCTTGTCCTTTCCAGAGAAGATAAAGTTTCTGTACTGGTCCTAACCAGAGAAGGTATTTTTTCCTTACTCCTTAGTATGATGCTTAACGGAGTAGATTATGATTCCTTACTGTAATGCTTGTCTGATCCTTACAATAGTATATTTCCTTATTCCTTGTCCTGCTCTTTACCAGAGAAGGCAATGTTTCTTTACTCCATACCCAACCCTAACCAGAGAGGTAATGTTTTTTTACTCCATACTTAACACTAACCAGAATAGTAATGTAATGTTTCCATACTCAATACCTATTCCTTACCAGAGAGATATGATTCTTAACTCCTTACCTAACCCTAAGCAGAGAAGGCAATATTTCCTTACTCCATACCCAACCCTAACCAGAGAAGCTAATTTTTCTTTACTCCATACCTAACCTTAACCAGAAAAGCTAATGTTTCTTTACTCCATATCTAACCCTAACCAGAGAGGTAATGTTTTCTTACTCCATACCTAACCCTAACCAGAAAGGTAATGTTTTCTTACTCCATACCTAACCCTAACCAGAAAGGTAATGTTTTCTTACTCCATATCTAACCCTAACCAGAAAGGTAATGTTTTCTTACTCCATACCTAACCCTAACCAGAAAGGTAATGTTTTCTTACTCCATACCTAGCCCTAACCAGAGAGGTAATGTTTTCTTACTCCATATCTAACCCTAACCAGAGAAGCTAATGTTCTTACTCCATACCTAACCCTAACCAGAGAAGCTAATGTTTCTTTACTCCATATCTAACCCTAACCAGAGAAGCTAATGTTTCTTAACTCCATACCTAACCCTAATCAGAGAAGCTAATGTTTCTTCACTCCATATCTAACCCTAACCAGAGAGGTAATGTTTTCTTACTCCATACCTAACCCTAACCAGAAAGGTAATGTTTTCTTACTCGATATCTAACCCTAACCAGAGAAGCTAATGTTTTCTTACTCCATACCTAACCCTAACCAGAGAAGCAAATGTTTCTTTACTCCATATTTAACCCTAACCAGAGAAGCTAATGTTTCCTTACCCCATACCTAACCCTAATCAGAGAGGTAATGTTTTCTTACTCCATACCTAACCCTAACCAGAAAGGTAATGTCTTTTTACTCCATAACTAACCCTAACAAGAGAAGTAATGTTTTTTTCTACTCCATTCCTACCCTAATCAGAGAAGCTAATGTTTCTTTACTCCATACCTTACCCTAAGCAGAGAAGCTAATAGTTCTTTACACTATATCTAACCCTAACCAGAGAGGTAATGTTTTCTTACTCCATACCTAGCCCTAACCAGAGAAGCTAATGTTTCTTTACTCCATATACCTAACCCTAACCAGAGAAACTAACATTTCTTACTCCATATCTAACCCTAACCAGAGAAGCTAATGTTTTCTTACTCCATACCTTACCCTAACCAGAGAAGCTAATGTTTCTTTAATCCAAACCTAACCCTAACCAGAGAAGTTAATATTTCTTTCTCCATACCTAACCCTAACCAGAGAGGTAATGTTTTCTTACTCCATACCTAACCCTAACCAGAGGAGCTAATGTTTTCTTACTTCATACCTAACCCTAACCAGAGAAGCTAATGTTTCTTTAATCCATACCTAATCCTAACCAGAGAAGCTAATATTTCTTTCTCCATACCTAACCCTAACCAGAGAGGTAATGTTTTCTTACTCCATATCTAAACCTAATCAGAGAAGCTAATATTTCTTTGCTCCATATCTAACCCTAATCAGAGAAGCTAATATTTCTTTACTCTATATCTAACCCTAATCAGAGAGGTGATGTTTTCTTACTCCATACCTAGCCCTAACCAGAGAAGCTAATATTTCTTTACTCCATATACCTAATCCTAACCAGAGAAACTAACATTTCTTACTCCATATCTAACCCTAACCAGAGAAGCTAATGTTTTCTTACTCCATACCTTACCCTAACCAGAGAAGCTAATGTTTCTTTACTCCATACCTAACCCTAACCAGAGAAGCTAATATTTCTTTACTCTATATCTAACCCTAACCAGAGAGGTAATGTTTTCTTACTCCATACCTAACCCTAACCAGAGAGGTAATGTTTCTTTACTCCATACCTAAGCTAATATTTCTTCACTCCATACCTAACCCTAACCAGAGAATCTGACATTTCTTACTCCATATCTAACCCTAATCAGAGAAGCTAATATTTTTTTACTCCATATCTAAATCTAATCATAGAAGCTAATATTTCTTTTCTCTATACCTAACCCTAACCAGTGAGGTAATCAAAGAAGAAAGCTTATATTTCTTTACTCCATCCACCCTACCTAACCCTAATCAAAGAAGGTTATATTTCTTTACTCCATACCTAACCCTAACCAGAGAAGCTAATGTTTCCTTACTCCATACCTAACCCTAACCAGAGAAGCTAATGTTTCCTTACTCCATACCTAACCCTAACCAGAGAAGCTAATGTTTCCTTACTTACTCCTAAGCCTGGTCCTTACCAGAGAAAATAATTTTTCCTTACTTTGTAATCTGATCCTTTCCGGAATATATAATGCTTCCTTATTCTGAATCCGTGTCCTTACCGAAAAAAGATATATAATATTTCTTTACTCTTTGTCCTGGCCCTTACCAGACAAGGTTGTGTTTTCTCTCTGCTATGCTGGGTTCTTAACGGAAAATGTAATGTTTAGTTACACCTAGCCCTGGTTCTTATTAGTGAAGGAAATGTTTCCTTCTCGTCAACCTGGTCCTTTCCATTGAAGATAATATGCCCTTGCCCCTGAAACTTGTCCTTACCAGAATAATTATTATTTCCATGCTTTGTCCTAACCAAAGAGGGTCATGTTTTTTTTACTTCTGAAACTGGTCTTTACCAAAGAAGGAAATATTTTCTCACCCCAAGCTTGGTTTTAGATATGTGAGCCATGATACCAGTTCTGCTGTTCTGTTTTAACTGTATAAGAAAATAACAATTTTACCTCCCCTATCAAAGCGTCTCTTATTTCGAATCTGTCAATATTAGGAAAGGGGCACTGGAGTGACCTTTATGTGATCAGAAAAAATTAAATTCACGCCCTCGCGGCTTGATTTTTATTTATTTTGATAGAGTCATTACTCATTATTAAGAAGCAATGAATTATGCTTTACCCTTTACATGAATCTTCCACCCACTCTGGCAATTATGCCTCAAGGACTTCTATTTTGCAAGACTGCAAAAGTGTTAAGATAAAGTCAATAGTTTTTCAAGCTAATTATTATTTTCCATGCATAGTCTGGAGAGATGAGTAAATAGCGTCAAATGATACTGCAATAAATCCAATATCTTTCATTTTACAACGAAATGACACAAAGATGTGGAAACATTGAATATTGACAAACAATGGCATTCAGTGAGAAACAAGGGATTGGGCCACATCCATGGTACTAATATACATGTACATTAAACATTTTTTTCGCACTATCTCTAATCAAAATTTGAATTTTCAACATTTTCAAAATTTTGGGATGGGATTCTCATAAATGAAATTATTTTTTAACGAATAATGTTTGTGGATGAAAACGTTCAAGACGTAGTGTATGATTAAAATTGATAAATATATCTGTCATTTCAGGTTCAATGGCGAGAAATTCACGTGATTTACCGAAGCATTGTGACAAATATTGGACAGTTTGATGTAGAGGCATTCTCTTTTACGGGAGTTACAGAAATGCCACAGGGAAAAGAAATTTCAGATGCAGTAGGTTCAGTTTTAGCAAGTATGATTCCCACAGAAAGAAACATAGTTTAATATAGAATAAGATGTCTGATAAAGAATATATGTACAAACATCGCAGCAAAAGCAAACATTTGAATGCGTTTGTACTTGTAAAAGGAGTGGTTGTTAAAAATATATTCATTTAACAATGTATACCGTTGCTATAAATAGTTAAACATGCTTTTTAAAAAAAAAAAAAAAGGATTATTATTTGCAAACTTTGACATTCTTAAAACGGTTAAATGATTAACATACTAGTATTTGAGGATAAAATGGAAGCCATTCTTTGTCTATTTTTAAAAAACGAATTTTATCATGATTTTGTCAGTACAATGCAAAAAAAGAAAATAAATCCAGTTTTTGACATCTGGAAAGAGTTTGGTTTCAAGTTAAAATGTTCGAATCGTTTTTATGGTAAACATATGGCATGTGATTACATTAAACTTTGAGGAAAATTGTTTGCAAACTTTTCTAAAATTCTTGAAAAAAGTTAATTTGCTTAAAAAATCATAATCTGTCCTTTATTTTTAATTTCTATGGATAGATAATTTTTTCTTTCGAGTAAAGAATGTTCGAACCGTATACTGGTATAGGACCATTATGTGATTACATTAATTTTAGAGTTTTAATTCCGGATCCGGTGGTCAAGCAGCGCCACCTTACGTTACTTTGAGTATTCTGGTGGCGGGAGTGGTAGGCGGTGTGGTGATTGTGGTGGCGGTTCTCTTTTGCTGTAAATGCTGCTCGGAAAAATCAAAGTCAAGATGGAGGTAAACACAGCATCATGTAAACGGATTAGACTACCTACATATTTTTGAAAGTGAACTATTTTTAGGATATATGAATGTATCATAATTTTTTTAGCATTGTTTTCTCAGAATCGTGTGAATCAATGAATAAATTTACGACTGTAGAAATTCAACTGTAATTATTGGTCTTCTTGAATGCTTTTTGAGTTCGATGCTACATCAATGTTTTCAAATCGATGCAAATCAGAAAATTTACCGAAAATGTTTCAGGTCAAATATATCAAATAAGATTTTTTTTAGAAAATTTTTTTTTTCTTCTGTGTGTTTCAGATTGAACATAAGGGATTCCTTACACTTTACTGATATAGAGAGGAGCGTGACGTCACCAACCTCGAAATTCGAAAACGCCCAATCTGACTTGTTTTCAGACCCCAGCATCGGGTCCGTGGAAGGAATCCTGTCCAATCCCCGACCGGACCTCAATAAAAAGTTAATAACTATGAAGTATAAATTATAATTATACATTAAGTATAAATTGTTCACTGAGTCTCTTATATTGGCTTCCAGAAAACAAGTTTTATACGAGTATATATAAATGCCCTCATAACCTTTATTCATAACATTTGAATGGACAGAATGAAATCTATCGAAACACGGTTCATGTTACTGGGTATATAATATTTTAAATATGAAAGTCGATCATCAGCTGTTAACATAAACTTCTTTTCAAAAGTGAAAAAAAAACTGCAAATAAAATAAGAAACTCTATTACATCAAAAAACAAGATGTGTTTGTGAAACACTATGCGCCCAATGGCAACAAGTTCAAAAAAATATTTTCAGAAGATACGTCAAGGTCACAAGGTCATTGACCTTGGTGTCATTTGAAGAACTTCATTAGTGGAGTATGCACACCAAATATGAAGTCTCTATCTGTCATGGTTCAAAAGTTATGGAGAAAGTTTGTAAAATCTATTTTTAGCATAAAGGTTACAGTCAAGGTCACAAAGTCACTGACCTTGGTGTCATTTGAAAGAGCGTCATTGGTGGTATATATATATATATATATATATATATATATATATATATATATATATATATATATATATATATATATATATATATATATATATATATATATATATATATATATATATATATATATATATATATATATATATATATATATATATATATATATATATATATATATATATATATATATATATATATATATAGTATGATATCAAATATGTATTATTCTCTATGTGTATATATATATATATATATATATATATATATATATATATATATATATATATATATATATATATATATATATAATAACCTTTATTCATCTCTCATGTTACTGGGTATATAATATTTTAAATATGAAAGTCGATCATCAACTGTTAACATAAAATTCTTTTCAAAGTAAAAAAAAACTGCAAATAAAATAAGAAACTATCCATATATCAATAAAAAAAGAGTATGTTAATTCGTAAAAAGCTAATTTTAGCAAATAGGTCACAGTCAAGGTCACAAGGTCATTGATCTTGGTGTCATTTGAAAGAACTTCATTGGTGGAGTATGCATACCAAATATGAAGTCTCTATCTTTCATGGTTCAAAAGTTATGGCGAAGGTTAAAGTTGACAACAGACAGACAGACAAACAGACAAACAGATAAACAAACAGACAGGACAAAAAAAATATACTATGATCTATCGATAAAGTAAAGGAGTGTGTTATTTCGTAAATTTCTATAAATGAAATACGTATCAGACATTTCCATCCATGTTATACGTGTTTGTCCTTGATTTTTTTGAGACGCATTTTTCAGTATTATGTAATCTTTGATGTGGTTTCTAGAGATTTTATTGTTAATGCTACCACTTCGAACTAAGCCGGTTAAGATACTCTTTTATGACATAGAAGAAGTGGTAAGAAAAACGACAACTACCTTAACCCTATTAAAGCATTACAGTGTGGTCGAAAGATCAAGTTATGATTTCATAAAGTACTAGAGCATTATTACAATTCTCAGGTCATTATAAGCTTGGACTTTCAGTAAGGCGTGGCATTCTCGACGTTATACATAATCAGCATGTGAAATTTACACAGCTTTCATTCACTGTTGAAATATACATACACCACCTTGAGTTTGAAAGATGCTGTTTTCTTACATAACTACATTGCCGTCCCCGTATAGAGAATAAAAAGTTCTTTTTTAAAAAATTTTTCCACTACCTGTAGAATTGAAATCTAGGAACAATCACTCTCATTCGCAAGAGGTTACCCAACGTGGGCGCCGAATGCAATTATGGAATATCTGCCTCCAGTGGATTTGAACCTGGAAAAATATTTTAAATCCCCAAATAAAATTACATAAAAGTAATATAAAGTTATTTAGAAAATAGTCATGGCTGCAGCCAACTTCTTAGCTGTAATTACAATTGTAAGTAAGATTTTTTTTTTACAATTACTGATTACGTCTTGATGTAATTACGTCATTGACCCAGGCATGATATACAGGTACACTGTAACATAATTAAAAGAAAAGGCAAATTTCTACAGTATAATACATTATAAAGCACAACATACAGAGCTAAACGTTCACAAAAATCGCACAAATAAATTTGGCAACGCACAACTTTCATAAAGCATATATTGCCAATAAATCAATGAGAGTGCCAAAAATTTTCACCAATGACCATGATATCAACTCTTTCTTAAATGGTGCTAATGATTTTTCAGTGGAGAAGCAGAGCAGCTATTCTACGAGGCATCAGAAACAACGAAACTGAAAACGGACTTTGAAAGAGGTTAGAAATGATTGGCGCTCCTCTCAACACACCTACTTGATGTCAAGTTATAGCCAGATAATAACATTGAAAAGATTTTTAAATAATAAGCTGGTGATCTTCAGTTGCTAGGTTTGAACATTGGCAACTTTTTAATTTACAATTCAAGACGTTTTCGGCGAGCGCAAAAGATACGCGATTATCAGCGTATTATTTTATCTTTTTTCAATTTTATCAAGTGGTTATTTAAGGAATCACTGTCTAGTTTGTATAGTATTCCAGGGCATCAACAATAGTGGGAAACATGGGATAATTTGCATAACGGGCGAAGCCCGTTATGCATAAATTATCCCATGTTTCCCACTATTGTTGATGTCCCTGGCATACTATACTACCTAGACAGTGATTCCTTATATTTCCATTTCATTGTGAAATGGAATTGTAGATTTAGACTTTAAAAATGCAGACATATATATAAATTACACGAGGATTCCCATCCCAATTTCAAAAGTCCTCGCCCACTGACGTCAAACACAACGACAGCCGCACGAGATTTTCATGCATATTTGGCCTCCTTAACGTCAGACTCAGAGACAGATGCGCACGAGATTTGTATGCATATTAGGCCTCCTTAGCTCCCGACCTATTGACTTGCCTAATTTACATTCCGGTAGAATTATCAAGAAATTAACTCCGCTAACTTTCAAAGGGTTATCACAGAGAGAAAAATTAGAAATGGAAATTTATACGAATTTCATTTAAATTTTCTCTGTTCTTATACGTAACTCTATTGAGCTCGTTGTTCTAGCTATCATTCACGCATTAAATCCTACTTTCTGAATGCAAAATGGGTGATTGTTTCATTTGAATTTAAACAATAGCTCCATATATTAAGATATTTTTAAATTTTCAGAGGACTATAAAAATGACCTGGGTAATTTGGAATATTCCAAAGAAGAACCGATTTCTCCTCCAGAGGAACCAACAAACGACAAAGCCTCAAGGCGAGTATCCTTCCAGCTGGAAGATCTTCCGCCCAGTCAGCACCTGCGCAAAGGAAGAAGGTTTGATCAAACTGCTCGGTTTTTTCCCGTGATCCCACACTGCACAACTAATCATTACCTCCCTTTTCCGACATCCGGGCAATAAAAGACTAGGGCACTTACTAAATTTTGTTGTCTATTTATTCAATATTGTGTCTATGTTCTCTGGCATTTTAGAAGGGGAGATAACTATAATTTAGATTCTGAAAATAAATTGCCAGAACCAAACGTTTTGCCATCTTTCTGCATGATGTGGCATGGCATGTCGTAACGTACTGTTTATAAACACAATGATTTTGCACATATGAATCCTTTGAAGTATAACTTACACTTTTACAATTTTTCAAATCGACAAGTAAATCTTAGAGGACAGGCACATTCAAGATTTTTTTTCTATCTGTTCATCCCTCCGTTATTCATGAAATCCTTTTCTTTGCATCAACAGCGATTTAATGTTCACAATCGCTTCTATGCTTGAACCGTAATTCAAATGTCCACATGAATCTAGAAAATGGATCATGTGCTAAGGAAGAGCAAGCATCCCTTATTGAAACACCTGCCCTGAAACCCAAATATTGATCAAGAGATGACTCAACATTTCGTATCAAATTTAGCTAAATAAGGCCGTAAATTGGTATGAACACATGAGCCAAAATATGACCCATTGATAGATAATATTTGTTAACATGGTCGTTATAACGACCGTGGAATCAACGAAATAATAACTTTCACTGGGAATGCTGAAATCCACATAACATTAACTTATCTGTCAGTAGCCTGTCTCGGTTTTTCAAACTGATCGTACAATGAGCATGTTCTAAAGTATCTTATATCTATTATTTAATCATTAAGATTCGCGATTGCCAATTTTTGTGGTTTATTATAATTTTACAGATTAGCAGGGACGATTTTGTATATTCACAATAGAAAAGATGACCCTTAAACCCACTTTTTTATTGAATTTGTGGAGGATGCAAATTCGTGTTTGATAACACCCACGAATTCAATGAATATTGAGGCCGGCGAAATTTTATATGATTCCACAGTAAGTTGGGAGACGCAAACACCATATGCAGATGACGTTTTGTTTGTCATGCAATTTAGCTGTTACTAAATTAAAATTGCCGTTATCGTTTATAGTCAATAAATCACCAAACTATGAAAAATATGTGGCAGAACTTGTGTGTCTTTTATCACAAGTTCACAGGGATACATCGAGGCGACAAATGAATGAAAGTATAACTGGATTGTTGATTGTTAAAACGTCGATATTTCTAAATGTCGAGTTAAAAGCCACAGCAAGAGTTTTCTTCTATCACCCTTGCCCTCTCCCGTCTAAGAATGGTAAATAATGGATCGGTAAGTAGGTAGGAAGTTTGCCCCCAGAAATTGCCAACATCAATGCTGAATTTTAAAAATCTATTGTTTTAAACAGCTCTACATGAAATTCCACCATTTTCCTGTTTACTGAAATCTTAGAAATTCAAAGTTAAGTGAACCATCAAATTATAATTTACCATGATAGCTAAGCGTACAAACATGTTTTGTAAAACATTCTTTTAATGATAATTATTAATTCTATCTACGTATGGTATGACTTTATGGAGATATAAAACTCAGCAGTTTGGTCACCTTTACCTCCATGTTTCCACCTTCATTTATTTCTTCCCAGTCACTTCACTATTTCAATGTACATGTTATAACATCAATTTATGACGGACAAAAAAAATTGGTGAAGGCAAGGCATTTGCTTTTTAATAAAAAAAAAAGTATAACTGCAACAATATATTTTTTTATTGAATTGAATATAAAAATTTGGATATTATAACAAAGGGAAAAAACTCGCCATCAATAGAACCTATACTAGTGAAAAGGAAAAGTAATTGCTACCTGACTATGGCAAGCCCTTTTGCTATTTATTTGGAAAATAAAATTTATCTTAAAATTACAGAGATATCTCTCATTTTAGAGAGATATCTTTTTAAAAATAGAGATATCTCTCCTCTTAAAGAGATATCTTTCATTTTTAAGAGATATCTCTAAGAGAAAGAGATATCTCTTATAGTTAAACTTAGAGATAAATCTCTTATACTTAGAGAGGTATCTCTTTTTATAAGAAAGATATCTCTCTTATTTGAACAAAGGTCTCTTTCTCCTTGAGAGATATCTCTTTCGTGAAAAGAGATATCTCTGAACGTTAAAGAGATATCTCTTTCATCTAGAGAGCTATTTCTTTTACTTTGAAGATATCTTTCCAAGTTAAAGATATAACTCTTAAAGTAAAAGAGAAATCTCTAATAGTTTATCTTAAGAGATATCTCTCAACATGAAAGAGATATCTAAGAGATATCTCTTAAAGTAAAAGAGAAATCTCTCATAATTTATCTTAAGAGATGTCTTTCAACATGAAAGAGATATCTTTCAAACGTGTCTAAAAGAGATATCTCTCATGCAAAAAAGATATCTCTTTATTGCAAAGAGATATATCTCTTCATTATTTTTATTTAAATTCCGTTTGAAATGACTTCTCCCTTTACCGGAAGTAAGCTTTTTATTCGCAGAAGTACATTAGAGTATTTTTAAATTTCGACATGTTCATGATATTCTATATTATAGTTTTTCTAAACATGACAAGTAATTCAGTGTTGTCTAGATTTCAAATTAGGAATAGTTGATTATTTCATAAGCAGAGAAAATTCGGTCCATTGCATTTGAGATTTGATGCTAATACTTTCTTTTTCCTGAATATTTAACTGTTAGCATTTTTATCAAACAAGTTGCCCTCATTATTTGTTGTTTCAAACAAGGGATTAATAGCATTTTTCAAATTTTGTATACATAGTACATATATTATTCTGGGTATTGCATTCTCAGCTTTTTTCTCTTATAGCAGCGAAATTATTCCAGAGACTTTACTTCCTGTTTCGCTTTTGTTTTAAAGGGGAGAATTAATTATTTTATTTTAAGGATGACTGGAAAAGAGATGTCTTTTTCAATTAAAACAGATAATTATTTAGCTTAGAAAGATATCTCTTTTTGAAAATCTAAAGAGATATCTCTCTAACTAAGAAAGATATATCTTTTAACCTTGTTAAGAGACATCTCTCGCTTAAAGAGAAATCTCTCTAGCCTTTAAAGATATCTCTGTGATTAAAAGAGATATCTCTTTTTCTTAAAGAGATATCTCTATATAAGGTATAAAGATATCTCTATTAGTCAACGACATATCTCTAGAATTTAAAGAGATATATCTCTATGCTAGAGAGATATCTCTTTTATTGAAAGAAAATTTTTATTTCACTAAAAAAATAGTAAAAGGGCTTGTCATACCGGACACTAGCTTTTGATAATTGTAAAAAAATAGTACGTTTACATAGTGAAAGTGAAGTGTATGTGCAAACAATTTCTAACATGTTCTTGAATTTCTAATATATCTCACATGTTTTGTTTCCTTATATTTTTATCTTATAGTCAAATAATATCTGGAAATAAGGGTAATTTAAGAGGTATTTAAAACATTTGAATATTTTCAGTGAAAAATGTACTCAATTCGAATTGCAAATTACTGTAGATTCCTAAAAATCGCGTAATTTTGCGGGAAGTGCCACACGCAAAATAAAATTACTCGCCTTTATTTTTATGGTGCTGAAATCTATGTAAAATATCTCTTGACCAACCGTCCATTAGCGAATTATTATTCTCGCGATTTGATGCTGAAGAGCCCATTCGCGACATTTTAAAAGTACCCGCGAAAAATAAGGAATCTACAGTATACGTTGATTTAATTAGCTAGGAAAAACTTAAAATTAATATTTTCTTTGTACGTCATGTTCAGATTTTAAAAAAGCATTCTAATCTAAGGAATGTTTTACTTTTTGTTGACAGATACACCGACGGAGATTTCCATCATCTTAAAAGATCCAGAATTGGAAAAGTTCCCCGCCAGTATTCTCTCGGAACAAGGAACCCGGATGCTACCAATGGCGTGGAACCACTAGACCAGACAGTTCTAGAAAAAATACAAAAACCCACGGTGAGTGAGGAAGATTACGTGACTCCTCAATACACTGGAAATGAATCTCCCTCACCTTCAAGTACCCCCCTGAAAACGGAGGTGGCTGTAGAAATACATCACAATGCTCAGGAAAACAAATCAGTCCCGAGCTTGCCGAAGTTCAAACCAACAGTGAGCGAGAAGAAACAGTGGCGATTTAAGTTGTATTCACAAAGTTTGGACATTGCATCGGATGATTACGAACATAAACAAGAAGAGCGAAGATGTAAGAGTTACCAGGACATCGGGGACTATGATGTACTCCAGATAACGGAGTTCAAAGGTCCCTTCTTTAACACAGATTTCGACGCCATTTCAGAATTAGGGTCGTCAAGCAGTAGCAAGGTAAGGTATAATGATACAGGAAGTATCGAACAGCTTAATGATGAAAACCTAGATAGTCTGGAATTCTTTGAAGAGTTTGAGATGGATACATTAAGGATTGATGACAGTGATGATAATGAAACAATTAACGGTACACAAAAATACCGCGATCTATGGCATCTAAGAACCACTTTTGAAGAAGAGGAGGAATGTAGTGATACAATACGAATGGAGGACATGACTTCGCCAGATCAGTCACCTGATGCCGATGTCCAGAACGTATTTGATTCTCAAGCAAATTCTTCTGATGATCAACCAAAAGGTAGAAGGTCTAGTTCGGTTGGATCAGTTCCAACTAAAGAATCGACCTTAAATCCCGAGTCAGAAATTAGACGTAGGACATACAAAAATATCCTTGAACGACGAAGTGAGCAGCGTTCGATACACTGCTCTCCAAATGCGGAAAACAGTTTTGATAGCATTACAACTGTTGACACCGACGGCGACCGCTCAGATACCAGTCGACCGGAAGTGACGACGACTTCATTTGAGTCAACAACCGATAACACAGACAGCACAACAGAAAGTCAGAACCATAAACTGATCCAGATGAAAGCCGACAGTGGGTACAAGTCACTAGAAACTCCAAATCCTTCACATCTATTTAAAAGAAATCACAGTACTGGAGAAATTGAGGAAGAAATAGTAGAATTAGAACCACTTACTGAGAAACTATTTGTTCATGCGCACTCCCTTCCGGAGAGCGGATCTTCCGGTGAACGCGCCTATTTTGATAGACGCACAGGCAAAACTGCCTCTCGAAAAAGACGAGAGTATCGTAGAGAACGGCAAATGGTTCAAGTGTATGAAAGCATTAACGAACCAGAAAGCGATTCAAAATCCGATCAACAGTCTGTTGAAAGTCTGAAAGTTGCTTCACCTTCCAGCAAATTCTCTGTGTTTTCTCGATTGTTTAAGTCAAATAAAGACCACAAAGAAAAGCAGTATGCTACTCGTGACTATTCTATAGATGAAAAATCCAACAGGGTGTTCCAGGAATTTTTACGGTTTGACCCTGCGCTGGAAAACAGGCCACGTTCAGCAAGTCAACCAAGAATACATTTACCAAAACACAGACTTCACAGAAAACACTCAGATGTCAAATATTTTGAGGAAAGACGTCGGGATAGGCTGGCGCCAGACAAACGAAGTTTAAGTTTAGGAAGTGACAGCAGCACCAGTTCTATTCGAAGACTCTCGCCCCAGGACAGTATTGAAGAGGAAGATTACGAGGATGTTCGAAAGGAAGAGGAAGAGAGCAAGTCATGTGATCCACTGTTACAGAGAGCGTTTTCCGGTCACATGGTACAAACCTTACCCCTACCGGAAGAAGAGATTGGTACGGAGGAGGCGTAACCTCGTGTCCTATTTCTTACAATCAATTTACAACAATTCCATAACTTTGTCACAATTTTAATTGACCTTGTTTACTGTTCTGCAGTAATCTTTATATTTATATGAACAATTGGTGCAAATATCATTTTATAAAACCATTAACTTAGATTGGATTTAGAATTTAAGTGGTAGAGAAAAACTGTTATTTGATATGTTTTAATATTATCCACAGACAAATGTGCTTATACATGTTATAATGGCATCCAAAACGATGTGTTTTTTTACATTAATATTGTTCAGCATTGAATATACCTTCCCAATATTTTTTTCTATTTTATATTCTTTTTTAAGTTAGAAACCTTATCAAAGAAAATAAATGTTCAAATTTTACTACATTAAATCAATGAAACCAACGCTCAAAAGGTTATTTTTGGTTGTTGGCTTAAATGAACAGGAATGTTTTAGCACGAGAGATCGTGATAGTGTTATGTCTACATGGATGGAGAAAAGGAAAGATCAACAGATTAAACACAAATTACTGGGGTAGGGATGGGTGGTCTGAAAAAATTTCGCCGAATACAATTATTTAAAAAAATACATGTACAATGTACAAATATATATTGTATAATTTCTTTGGCGAGTGATATTTTGAAATTATTTTTCTACGAACAAAGTTAACTTGTTTACTGTCAACCTATCATTCACGTTTTTTCTTGCGTACTAAGAAAGCAAACAACAATTATACTCCTTAAAAATGTATTTATGCATTTAACGCTAATGTAATTAATATGTTAAATGTTTTCAGTACACTTTAGCGTTTGTGAAATGGTTCTTTTATTTGATACACTCTTGGATGCATGTCTAAGCTGATGTATGCCATCCATGAGATAAGATCATAAAGTCAGCTCAACAAATTACTTACATGAATTTTAACAAATTTGATTTCATTACGCTGCAAAGCACTACTTCTATTTATTTCACACGGAGATATTCGAATTAAACGTAAAGTAACTCCTCCGGATTATGCTAATTTTTAAGTTTTCGCCATTAAATTACTGATACATTACGGCGCAAGCGAATTAAATTTTGACGCTGTACCATGGAAGTTTTGATATATATTTGTGCTATATTTGTTAAAAAATTGAAAGTATGTTAATCACTAAAATCAATACAGCTGTAGCCACTACATGATGTATCAAAGGATTCTCATGCATGACGTGATTTACAAAACTATGAATTCAATATATGTATTTTTCTTACCTTGGTCTTTGACCTAAAATAAAAAAAAAATAAAATCATATTGAACTTTCCCGGTGGCCAGCCTTAGCTGTCCTGTCTGTAGCCACCCTTTCTCACTCAGTCTTGGAGACTCCTTTGCTACCTCGCTGCTCTTCCTGCTTCATACATTGTTCTAATGCTCCAAGTAGCGAACCTGATGGTTTCCTGATAGTACATGTAAAATCTTCCGTTGCAAGACCTCAAGGATAAAAAAGATATCATTAGGGAATCATTCTTTGCAAGGTAGATATTTGTGACTTTGTCATTTGAACTTTAAACCCATTCCGTTGGAATTATGGTAAAAGATTATTGAAATAAAAAAAAATTACAACGTTTGAATTTCTAAACTTATATATCCTGAACCAGATTTCGCCTACTTCAATGGGGGCCTTGATGCTGTGCATTGAAGGTCAAAAGGAAGCTGCAACGATGACTCCTTTCTCACATGCAGGAAACCATCAGGTTCCATCAGGAGCATTAAAACAATGTATGGCACCTGATCCCACCTCTGATGTTTCAGAGGTCCGTGTTTGCTCTGCTCCTATTTTGTATTGTTTTATGGACTTTGCTATTGAATACTGTTCGTTATCTCTATATCCTTCTTCAAGAATCTCCAAGGACTGAGTGAGAAAGGAGGGCTATAGACAAGACAGCTAAAGCTGATCACCGGGAAAACATTGTTGTATTCAGGACAGAACGCGGAGGGACACCCCCCCCCCTTACACACGCGCGGAAGGTGTAGGCTTGGTGCTATCCCTGGAGGCACAACAACGTGCTCTTATAGGATAGGAACCTGTAAAATTCCAAGAAAAGATCAGATTGAACATGATCCATTGTTATGTCCCCAAAAATGACGCTGATGACGAGAATACAGACTACCTTTTTCCAGCAACTAAAGGCAGACGGATAAAACAGAGAAGAAATATATGACAATACTTATGGGCGACTTCATTGCAAAGATCAGAGCTGACAATACTGGCTACAATGAAGTCATGGGCACACAAGGACTTGTAATGAGAATTAATGAGAATGGAGAGATTTGCATTTGCAGACCTATGCTCCCTTAACCAGCTTGAAATAAGATGAAGCACCTTCCCTCATAACGGATACAAAAGCCACATGGAGATTCCCTGACCGTGTTACGAAGAACCAGATTGATCATATTTGCTTCAGCAAGAAATTTAGAAGAGCATTGAAAGATGTCAGGATATTGAGCGGAGCAGACATTTCACCTGACCACCATTTCCTGATGACGGCAATAACAAGTTTAACAAATAAACAAACATGAGGACAAGATACAACGTGAGGGTCCTCAAAATAAAGGAAGTGAAGACAACATTCTCCACCTGCTACAAGACCAGTTAGAAAACAGCGATACCTACATAGAACCAAAATGGTAGCACATCAAGGAAAGGTGGCGAAATACATGTGAAGAAGTCTTCGGCAGAAGAAAGATTCAGCACAAAGAGGGATGAAATGTATAAAGACAACAAACAGCATCCAAGCTCAAATGTCCTCTCAGAACAAACACGGACCTCTAAAACATCAGAGATGGGATCAGGTGTTGTGGGAGTGATCATCCCGGTCATCCGGTGCTCCTTGTCATGATCGGGAAATAACTGTAAAATCCGTCGACAATTCAGTGTGGTCAAACAACTAGTTTGAAAAAAGTCAGCATTTGACTTAATGATAGATTGTATTTGCTGACAATGTCGTTGTATCGACCGCAGAACTTACAATAAATAACTTTAAATGAGACTGTTGATAATCTTTTTTTAAATATCTTACTTCGTTTTAGAAATTGTTCATACGTTAGAGCATGCTCTTGCGTATCGAATCAACAGAGATATATAAACCCCATGTACAGGTGATAAAGGTATATTGCTGAGTAAGTAACGTTGACTTTTGAAAAGTTAAAGGCATCCCGATTATCATAAAGCTTTGTTATTAGATTAACATTGGCATCTTTTACTAGTCTCATAATCCCGTGAGGAAATTAAATGTCAGAAAGGAAAAAGAAAGCGGGACTTAAAACAAACCGGACAAGAGCAATAAATATTAAGAAAGATAAATTGGATCACATTGACAACCTGCATGACCAAACAAATTGAAGAAGCAGCGGGACAACGAAACTTGAGAGAACTGTATATGACTACAAACAAGCTCTCCAATAAATATCAGCAGACAGACATGCCAGTGAAGGACAAGAACGATAAACCTCTCACTATAACAGAAGAACAGCTGAAGAGGTGGGTAGAACACTAATTTTTAAAAGCTATTAAATGAACCAACACCAGAAACACCTCCGGACATACAACCAGCCGATACAGACCTCCCAATCAACTGCGACAAGCCAACAAATAGAACATGAGATGTACTAACAAACTTAAGAATGGAAAAGAGGCAGGGCCTGATGAGATACCAGCAGAAGCCATCAGAGGGGATACAGAAAGGGCCATTGACATCCTCCTGTACAACCTCCTCAAGAAGACTTTCACGGAGCGACCGGCCTAGGTAAGTAAGGATGAATTTCTGAATCGGGCTTTTGACAATCCATTGGGTTCTTTAATACACTTGTAGGTTAATAAGAAATAATATTTTAAAAAGCTATAATTAAGCCCCGAATTAAAAGAACAAAAAAGTTTAAAACATGATATCTTGTATACTAGTTAACAATGATATGACTGTTTTTTCCCTAAAATAAATTGTTAATTGATATTTTTAAAAAAAGTTATCGTAATACGTAATATAAAGTGATATTTTAGAAAAAAAGAAGTTATCAGTCTTCCGCCATATAACACACAATCCGAAAAAACGTGCAAGTGTAAAGATTACAATAGCCCACGCCCAAAAGATTAAGATTTTTGTATAATATTCCTTTGAAAAGTCTAAAAAGTTTTTAATAAAAAATACATGTATTTGTAAAATTTGATGATATCTGCATACGATGAAACCCTGATTTAATTATTAGTCTAAGTTTCTTTGTGATATACACTGTATTTAAGACTTCTTGTGTAATATCCCTCTGATAAGAGAGATAGTAGTAACTTTCCGAGGAAATTATTCCAAGCTATTCAATGAATTATCATATCAAAGTTTAATTATGAGGACCATTTTATATTTAACTCATTCAAATCTAATCTATGGTACAGATGTTGATTTCTTGTTTCTGTTGCTAATACTTTCATTAATTGCAACGTACAGTACTTACAATAGTTTACCTAAAACATTTTATGTTCAATTCCTCTAAGCTGTGAATATTTACATATTTCTATCTCTTACTGTATAAGTCTTCAAATTGTTACAGGAATTTCAGCTGCAGAATTTTCATAATCTATTAATTACAGGTAATATTTTGTTTCACTCATAGCTATTTTCAAGAACGATAATGGAAAGATAACTCTTGTTGATGGATGCGTATTATTTTACAAGCACAGAAATTTCAAAACAATATGATATTCTGATTTAGAAAGCAACGCTTCATTATGTTTTCTAATGGGAATTAGAAAGGTATGATTTTAAATTATATTTTCATATATGCCTCATATTTTTAATTTTATTGTGAGATAAAGAAATATTGATCTTCCTAATAACCATATCAAAATTTTTTCACATCATCATCAGACATAATATTTATTTCTGAAAAAATAAGCAACGCTTCATACTTCAAACTGATTTCCATTGGAATCAAATAATTTGTTGTTGTTGAAAATCAGTGTTTGGAATTTAAGAAAAGGTGGTGAAATATGGAGCAGAGGAATATTTCACGTTAAGTGAAATATTCCTCTGGTCCAAACACCATTTTTTTTTTAATTCCAAACATTGATTTTCATCAATAACAATAGAAATATCTATAATTTTTAACTCACAATAAAATTAAAAGTATGAGGTATATATGAAAATATTGTTTAATATCATATCTATCTAATTCTGATAAGAAAACATAATGAAGCTTTGCTTTTTAAATCAGAATATCAAACTGTTTTCTGTGCTTGTAAAATAATATACATCCATCAACAAGATTTATTTTTCCATTATCGCCCTTGAAAATATTTTTAATGAAACAAAATATTAATTAAATGTTTATAAACAATTCTGCTTCTGAAATTTCTGAAACAATTAAAAGACATACGTT